GGAAGGGACGTTTGCCTGAACTGCAAACAGGTAGATGGTGGCAATGCTCTCACACGTTCCATGCTGAGATGTGTTGCCCACTGGGCCGCTCGCAGGGAGTTGCTGGTATCTACCACCCACCTAGTGAGGATCAAACCCACGCTAGTCAGATGTCAAATGACCAACTTGTGACAATCCTCCTGGGGGGTGGGGGAGGTAAGTGGGGTCTCCTTGCAGCTGAACTGGGTCCAGGATAACATGCCTGGCAATGGAATGTCAGAATCGAGCCAAACCTCTGTGATAGTGTGTTAGTGAGTGACAGTGACAGTGTGTTATTGACAGTGACAGTGTATTAGTGACAGTGACAGTGTGTTAGTGACAGTGTTAGTGACAATGTTAGTGTTGATGACAGGGTTAAGTGACAGTTTAGTGTTAGTGACAGTGTTAGTGACAATGTTAGTGACATTATGAGTGTGTTAGTGACAGTGTTAGTGTTACTGACAGTGTTAGTGACAGTGTGAGTGTGATAGTGTTAGTGACATTGTCAGTGTGATAATGACAGTGACATTGTGAGTGTGATAGTGTCAGTGCGACAATGTGAATGTGTTAGTGACAGTGTGAGTGTGTGAGTGACAGTGCAAGTGTGTTAGTGAGAGTGTGAGTGTGTTAGTGAGAATGTGAGCGTGTTATTGACAGTGTGGGTGTGTTAGTGAGTGTGTTAGTGACAGTGACAGTGATTTTGTGTTAGTGATAGTGACAGTGTGTTAGTGACAGTGACAGTGTGTTAGTGACAGTGACAGTGACAATGTGTTAGTGACAGTGACAGTGTTAGTGACAGTGACAGTGTGTTAGTGACAGTGTGTTAGTCACAGTAGCAGTGTGTTAGTGATAGTGGCAGTGTGTTAGTGACAGTAACAGTGTGTTAGTCACAGTGACAGAGTGTTAGTGACAGTGGCAGTGTGTTAGTGACAGTGGCAGTGTGTTAGTGACAGTAACAGTGTGTTAGTCACAGTGGCAGTGTGTTAGTGACAGTGAGTGTGTTAGTGACAGTGGAAGTGTGTTAGTGACAGTAACAGTGTGTTAGTCACAGTGGTAGTGTGTTAGTGACAGTAACAGTGTGTTAGAGACAGTAAAAGTGTGTTAGTGACAGTGACAGTCTGTTAGTGACAATGATAGAGTGTTAGTGACAGTATATTAGTGACAGTGTATTAGTGAGTGTTAGTGACAGTGACAGTATATTAGTGACAGTGTATTAGTGAGTGTGTTAGTGACAGTGATAGAGTGTTAGTGACAGTGACAGTATGTTAGTGACAGTGTGTTAGTGAGTGACAGTGTGTTACTGACTGACATTGTGTTAGTGACAGTGACAGTGTGTTAGTGACAGTGACAGTGTGTTAGCGACAGTGTGTTAGTGACAGTGACAGTGTGTTAATGACAGTGACAGTGTGTTAGTGAGTGTGTTAGTGAGAGTGTGATTGTGTTAGTGACAGTGTGTTAATGACAGTGACAGTGTGTTAGTGAGTGTGTTAGTGAGAGTGTGATTGTGTTAGTGACAGTGTGAGTGTGTTAGTGTTAATTTGTTTCTGTCAGTGTGTTAGTGTCAGTGTGAGTGTATTAGTGACAGTGACAGTGTGTTGGTGACAATGTGAGTGTGTTAGTGATAGTGTGTTAGTGAGTGTGTTGGTGACAGTGTTGGTGACATTGTTATTGTTGGTGACAGTGTTGGTGTTAGTGACAGTGTTGGTGACAGTGTGATTGTGTTAGTGAATGTTAGTGACAGGGACAGTGTCAGTGACAGTGTTAGTGTTAGTGACAGTGTTAGTGTCAGTGACAGTGTTAGTGGCACTGTGAGTGTGAGTGTCAGTGATACTGTGAGTGTTAGTGACAGTGTTAGTGACAGTATGAGTGTTAGTGACAATGTTAGTGACAGTGTTAGTGACTGTTTCAGTGTTAGTGACAGTATTACTGATGGTGTTGGTGACAGTGTTATTGTTAGTGACAGTGTGTCAGTGTGATTGTGAGTATTAGTGACAGTGTTAGTGACAGTGATAGTGTTAGTGACAGTGTTAGTGACAGTGTTAGTGACAGTGTTAGTAACAGTGTTAGTGGCAGTGTTAGTGACAGTATTAGTGCTAGTGACAGCATAAGTGTTAGTGACAGTGTTATTGACAGTGTTGGTGTTAGTGACGGAGTTAGTGTTAATGACAGCGTTAGTGTTAGTGACAGTGTTGGTGACAGTGTTGGTGTTAGTGACAGTTTTGTTGACAGTATTGGTGTTGGTGACAGTGTGTGGGTGACAGTGTGGGTGACAGTGTGTGGGTGTGGGTGACAGTGGGTGAGTGTGTGGGTGACAGTGGGTGACAGTGGGTGAGTGTGGGTGACAGTGGTTGAGTGTGTGGTGTGGGTGACAGTGGGTGACAGTGGGTGAGTGTGTGGGTGACAGTGGGTGACAGTGGGTGAGTGTTGGTGACAGTGGGTGAGTGTGTGGGTGACAGTGGGTGACAGTGGGTGAGTGTGGGTGACAGTGGGTGAGTGTGGGTGAGTGTGGGTGACAGTGGGTGAGTGTGGGTGACATTGGGTGACAGTGGGTGAGTGTGGGTGACATTGGGTGACAGTGGGTGAATGTGGGTGACATTGGGTGACAGTGGGTGAGTGTGGGTGACAGTGGGTGAGTGTGTGGGTGACAGTGGGTGAGTGTGTGGGTGACAGTGGGTGAGTGTGTGGGTGACAGTGGGTGACAGTGGGTGAGTGTGTGGGTGACAGTGGGTGACAGTGGGTGAGTGTGGGTGACAGTGGGTAAGTGTGGGTGAGTGTGGGTGACAGTGGGTGAGTGTGTGGGTGACAGTGGGTGACAGTGGGTGAGTGTGGGTGACATTGGGTGACAGTGGGTGAGTGTGGGTGACATTGGGTGAGTGTGTGGGTGACATTGGGTGAGTGTGTGGGTGACAGTGGGTGAGTGTGTGGGTGACAGTGGGTGACAGTTGGTGAGTGTGTGGGTGACAGTGGGTGAGTGTGTGGGTGACAGTGGGTGAGTGTGTGGGTGACAGTGGGTGAGTGTGTGGGTGACAGTGGGTGAGTGTGTGGGTGACAGTGGGTGACAGTGGGTGAGTGTGTGGGTGACAGTGGGTGAGTGTGTGGGTGACAGTGGGTGACAGTGGGTGAGTGTGTGGGTGACAGTGGGTGAGTGTGTTGGTGACAGTGGGTGACAGTGAGTGAGTGTGGGTGACAGTGGGTGAGTGTGTGGGTGACAGTGGGTGACAGTGGGTGAGTGTGGGTGACAGTGGGTGACAGTGGGTGAGTGTGTGGGTGACAGTGGGTGAGTGTGGGTGACAGTGGGTGAGTGTGGGTGACAGTGGGTGAGTGTGGGTGAGTGTGGGTGACAGTGGGTGACATTGGGTGAGTGTGTGGGTGACAGTGGGTGACAGTGGGTGACAGTGGGTGAGTGTGTGGGTGACAGTGGGTGAGTGTGGGTGACAGTGGGTAAGTGTGGGTGAGTGTGGGTGACAGTGGGTGACAGTGGGTGAGTGTGTGGGTGACAGTGGGTGAGTGTGGGTGACAGTGGGTGAGTGTGGGTGACAGTGGGTGAGTGTGGGTGAGTGTGGGTGACAGTGGGTGACATTGGGTGAGTGTGTGGGTGACAGTGGGTGACAGTGGGTGACAGTGGGTGAGTGTGTGGGTGACAGTGGGTGACAGTGGGTGACAGTGGGTGAGTGTGGGTGACAGTGGTGAGTGTGTGGGTGACAGTGGGTGACAGTGGGTGAGTGTGTGGGTGACAGTGGGTGAGTGTGTGGGTGACAGTGGGTGAGTGTGTGGGTGACAGTGGGTGACAGTGGGTGAGTGTGTGGGTGACAGTGGGTGACAGTGGGTGAGTGTGGGTGACAGTGGGTGAGTGTGTGGGTGACAGTGGGTGACAGTGGGTGAGTGTGTGGGTGACAGTGAGTGACAGTGGGTAGTGGTGTGTGGGTGACAGTGGGTGAGTGTGTGGGTGACAGTGGGTGAGTGTGTGGGTGACAGTGGGTGACAGTGGGTGAGTGTGTGGGTGACAGTGGGTGAGTGTGTGGGTGACAGTGGGTGACAGTGGGTGAGTGTGTGGGTGACAGTGGGTGACAGTGGGTGAGTGTGGGTGACAGTGGGTGAGTGTGGGTGACAGTGGGTGAGTGTGGGTGACAGTGGGTGAGTGTGTGGGTGACAGTGGGTGACAGTGGGTGAGTGTGGTGGGTGACAGTGGGTGAGTGTGTGGGTGACAGTGGGTGACAGTGGGTGAGTGTGTGGGTGACAGTGGGTGAGTGTGTGGGTGACAGTGGGTGACAGTGGGTGAGTGTGTGGGTGACAGTGGGTGAGTGTGTGGGTGACAGTTGGGGTGACAGTGGGTGAGTGTGTGGGTGACAGTGGGTGACAGTGGGTGAGTGTGTGGGTGACAGTGGGTGACAGTGGGTGAGTGTGTGGGTGACAGTGGGTGACAGTGGGTGAGTGTGTGGGTGACAGTGGGTGACAGTGGGTGAGTGTGTGGGTGACAGTGGGTGAGTGTGTGGGTGACAGTGGGTGAGTGTGTGGGTGACAGTGGGTGAGTGTGTGGGTGACAGTGGGTGACAGTGGGTGAGTGTGTGGGTGACAGTGGGTGTCAGTGGGTGAGTGTGGGTGACAGTGGGTGAGTGTGTGGGTGACAGTGGGTGAGTGTGGGTGACAGTGGGTGAGTGTGTGGGTGACAGTGGGTGACAGTGGGTGAGTGTGTGGGTGACAGTGGGTGAGTGTGTGGGTGACAGTGGGTGACAGTGGGTGAGTGTGTGGGTGACAGTGGGTGACAGTGGGTGAGTGTGTGGGTGACAGTGGGTGAGTGTGTGGGTGACAGTGGGTGAGTGTGTGGGTGACAGTGGGTGACAGTGGGTGAGTGTGTGGGTGACAGTGGGTGACAGTGGGTGAGTGTGTTGGTGACAGTGGGTGACAGTGGGTGAGTGTGTGGGTGACAGTGGGTGACAGTGGGTGGTGTCGGGTTCCTGTAGGTGGCGCTGTCGCGGGAGAGTGCGAGTCGGCAGCTGTTCTGCGGGTGACGGTTCGCTGAGGGGATCGCGGGCCTCTGGCGGCGGCGGCGGCGGAGAGGAGGAGGAGGAGGAGGAAGGTGAGGATTGAGGAGGAAGGTGAGGAGGAGGAAGATGAACGAGGGCCGCAGGATGAGGCTCCCGGCGGCTCCCGACACCGTCTGCTTCAACAAAGAGGAGTTTATGAAGGTAAAGTCACGGATACACAGCGTTACACACCAACATACATGTCCACACACCAACATACATGTCCACACACCAACATACATGTCCACACACCAACATACATGTCCACACACCAACATACATGTCCACACACCAACATACATGTCCACACACCAACATACATGTCCACACACCAACATACATGTCCACACACCAACATACATGTCCACACAGCCCCTGATATACACACCATACACACAGCCCCAGACATACACACAGCCCCAGACATGCACACAGACACACACAGCCCCAGACATACACACAGCCCCAGACATACACACAGCCCCAGACATGCACACAGACACACACAGCCGCAGACATACACATCACATATACGCACAGCCCAGACATATACACAACGTAAACGTGCAGCCCAGACATACACACCACGTACACGCAGCCCTGGACATCGTGTATACACACACATCGATACAGACACACACGTAGCCCGGGTCACACACCAGGTACACACAGGGAGAATCTGAGTGCTATTAAAAAAGAAGTGGTCACTCAACCCATGACTGTTTGTGGGTCACTGCTGTGCTCAGTTGGTTGCTGCGTTTCGACCGCAAAAAAGTACATTCGCATTATGGTATATTCTGTGAAGCGCTTTGAGAAATCTCAAAAGTCGTGATAAGGCACTGTATCAAATGCAAGAATTATTATTATTATTATGATGCATATAAAGACTTTCAGAAGGCTTCAGATTATCAATAGAAGGATCCTATGACGATTTACGACATGGTATTAAAGTAAATTCATGGAGTGGATAGAAGTATGGTTGAGAGACAGAGTGCAGACTGCGGAAGTCAATGAGTGTTTCTCAGATTTCTCATACGTCAGGTAGTGGTGCGCTGCATACATCTGTTGTGGATCCACTGCTTTACAATATACATCAAGGTCTTGTACGTGGACATAATAATAATCCTTGCATTTGAAGCAGCACTTTTCACATCGGGAAGACGTCTCAAAGCACTTCACAGGTTTTACTGTGAAGTGTAGTGACGTGTGGTTGTAGACGAATGAGAGAGCGCATTTGCGCACAGCATTGTCCCACAAACAACAACAAGAAGCAACAAATTGAATTTATATAGCGCCTTTCAGGTTGGAAAGTCGACAGTTTGCACCCGAGCTGGGGTGAGGCAAAGGGAATCTGGGATGGAGTTCCAGGGAGCGGCGCAGGTACTCCAGACTACCTGACTACCGATGGAGGGACACATGAAGCAAGCTGGTGCCTGCTGAGTGAAGGAAGCGGGTGGGTTGGTTGGGTTTTAAAAAGTCGCCAAGGTCAGGTACCTCAAGACCATGGAGTCAGACTTGTGTCCCAAGTTTGCTGATGATTGGATGGATTTGCTAAGATTTTTTGATAATAATAATCCATGCATTTGATACAGTGCCTTATCACATTGTTTTCATACGTCTCAAAGCGCTTCACAGAATATATAGTAATGTGAATTGACGGTATATTTTGTGGGCGAAAGCCAATTGTGCACAGCAGTGTCCCACAAACAGTTGTGGATTGAGTGACCAATTTTTTTTGGAGGGATTATTACTTTGAAGATTTTTTTTTGAGGGATTTGCGGAAAGTGATCCACCAGTCGACGGTTCCTATTTACTGCTAAGTAAGCAGAGGTGTGTGGAGTAAGGAAACTTGCCTAACGTTTCGCCCCGCACGGGACTCAAACCTGGGTCCTCTTGCTTGTGAGACGAGCATGACAATCTACAGGACTCCACAAAAGAGCGAGTGAAGAGAGAGAGACTGTGGGTGGGAGAGAAGAGAAAGTTGCTTGTTTTAGCACCTGGTGGCTGAACAGTGACCAGACTGTAAACAATGGTGACTGACGATCTACAATATCAGCGCTCAGAGACAGGCTCCATCTAATACAGGTTACCGTTGTTGAGGAGCTGTGGGTCTAAAATCAACAATACCTTGGGAAATGACAGTGTGAAGTGTTGTCACATAACCCTAACACACACACACACACACACGCACTCCCTCCCTCCCTCCCTCCCGCCCTCACTCACTCACTCACTCACTCACTCACTCACTCACTCACTCACTCACTCACTCACTCACTCACTCACTCACTCACTCACTCACTCACTCACTCACTCACTCACTCACTCACTCACAGGACGTCCCAAGGCGCTGGACAGTGTACAGTGGTTCAGACCCAAGTTGGGGTCAGGGGGGGAGAAAGGAGGGGAGGGGAAGGCGGGTGACCGATGGCATGGTTGAAGAGGAGAATTTTGAGGCAGTTCTTGAGGGAGGCTAAGGAGGGGGCGAGGCAGAGTGATTGATGGATGGAATTCTAGAGGTGGGGGGCAGAGTGGCTGAAGGCTCTCCCACCAATGGTGGGGGCGGGTGGGTTGGGGGACGTGGAGCAGGCCAGAGCCGGCTGAGCGGAGGGAGCGGGCGGGTTGGTAGAGTGTTAGGAAGTCGCAGAGGTAAGGTGGGGTGAGGCCATTGGGGGCTTTGTAGGTGAGGACCAGGACCTTGAACTGGATCCTCTGAAGGATAGGGAGCCAGTGGAGTCGGGCGAGAATGGGGGAGATGGGGTCACAGAGTTTGGTGCGGGAGAGGACATGGCTGCAGAGTTCTGGATTATCTGCAGTCTGTGGAGGGAGGAGTTGGGAAGGCCGACAAGCAGAGCGTTTGCACAGTCGAGCCTGGAGGTGAGGAAGGTATGAACAAGAGTTTCAGTGGCCTGAGGGGTGAGGTAGTGGTGGAGTCGGGCAATGTTACGGAGGTGAGGGAAGGCAGAGCGGGTCATGGCTTGGATGTGGGGAAGAAAAGACAGTTGAGGGTCGAACAAGACACCGAGGTTCCTGACTGGCTGGTGAGCTGTAGTGTGCAGCCATGGAGGTTGATGTTGCCAGAGCCTGAGGTGCAAAGGCGCTGGCGCGAGGCAATCCGGAGGGCCTCAGTCTTTGTCACATTCAACTGTAGGACATGCACTAGATTTCTTCCCAACCACACCATTAGTGTTCAGGTTCTACAAAGTTCGCTGGCTCAGAGCTCAGTCATTACACTGCAGACAAACACTGCTCTCACCTCTTAGAGGTGTCTAACATTAACATCTACCTGCAGACAGAGTGAGCGACAGAGAGACACACACACGCACACATAGAGCAAAAGACACACACACATCCACATACAGACAGAGTGAGCGACAGAACAAGAGACAGAGAGAGAGACACACACACAAATAGATCAAGAGACAGAGAGAGAGAGAGAGACACACACACACACACACAGTGAGAGACAGATTGATTGCATTTTAATGCACAAATGTAACTTCTGAATTGCAGGATAATTTTGACGTGGATCATTTTGTATCGGAGTGCAGAAAACATGTTCAACTGGAGACACTGCGTGATGATCTGGAACTTTATTACAAGCTTCTCAAAACTGCTATGGTGGAACTCATAAATAAAGACTATGCAGATTTTGTCAATCTTTCGACTAACCTGGTAAGACCTCAATTAAGTTTTTTTTAAAAACCAAATTTAAAATAACATGATTTGACTATATGAAACGTATGTCACAAATGATTGTAATTTTCTCTCCCAGGTTGGTATGGACAGAGCTTTGAACCAGCTAACAGTACCATTGGGCCAGTTGAGGGAAGAAGTGCTGGTATGTTATCACGTTTTGTTCTTGCACAGGTGAAAGTATTACTGTAGGACCTGACATTGAGTATTGTTATTATTCAGAACTCTGCAGCTTGTATCTTCTCCCGCACCAGGCTCCATGAACGAATCACCCCTGTTCTTGCTTGACTTCACTGGCTCCCCATCCCTCAGAGAATCGAGTACAAAACCCTCGTTCTCACCTTCAAAGCCCTCCACAGTCTTGCTTCCCCCCAGCTCTCCGGCCTCCTAACCCCATATTAGCCTGTCCGTTCCCTCTGCTCGGCGGATTCCGACCTGCTTCAGGCCCCCGCACTTCCTGCCCCACCATTGGCAGTCGGGCATTCAGCATCTCTTTCCCCACATTTGAATTCTATCCCCCAATCCCTCTGCCTCACCCCCTCTCTTGCCTCTTTCAAGTGCCGTCTGAAGACCCTCTTCTTCAACCGCGCCTTTAGTCACCCTCCCATACCCCCTGCCCTCCACTTCCTGACCCCAACTTCCAGGTCGGGTCCAAAAAACCCTGATTGTCCAGCACCCTTGGACGTCTTTCCGACGTGAACGGTGCTATATGAGTTTAATTTGTCGTTGTTGTATAAAAGCAGACTGGAGACCACCTAAATGCTGTCTGATCCCTGTGATACACGTGTGGTTTTTGGGGCTGATTGCCTGGCTTTTAGCATGTAACACTGGCGATCTGATGACCTTGAGCAAACTCACATAGTGTAAACGAGCGTTTCTCAAAAGCGTGAGGTATGCAGCTGGTATTGACCAGCTTTAGCTTGAATACTGTTCTGCTTGTGCAAAGTGATAGGACAGGCTTGGGACTACCAGGAGGCCTGTAGCATAGTGACGCGCTGACCTCACAAGAGAGAGGACCCAGGTTCGATTCCCGGGCAGGACGAAACCTTAGGCAAGTTTCCTTACTGCACACGCCTCTAAGTAGGAACCTGGTTGTTTGTCGATTGGCGGACCACTTTCCGTTGTAATGATCCCTTAAAAAAAATTTGGTTACTCAATCCACAATTGTTTGCGGGACACTGCTGTGTGCAATTGACTGCTGCGTTTCGGCCACAAAATATACTTTACAGCAGCTGTGGGCAAAAGACGACCAATAGGCCATATCCGGCCTTTCAAATAATTCTATCCGGCCCATCATTGTGTCTAGCAATAGAAAAAATTATAGTTCGTTCATTCCCAGAAAGTCGCACAAATTTCGCATTTGATCTGACTGGGAACATCAGCCAATCACACGGCTTAGTTGTGCGCACACTCCCTTAAGTGTTGAATCAGACTGACGTCAAAAATGTACGGATCGACAAATTTTTAAACGCGTGCAAGATAACCGCGGCAATACTTTTCACTGAAAAGGACGTTAAATCAAAATGAGGATATCAGAGAAGCGAAGGCCGAATATTCAACAAAGAAAGGACTTCTAAAAATTTTTTTACCAATGCGGGTGGAAAAGCTGTTTGCTTAATTTGCAAAGAAAGTGGCAGCATTCAAAGACTACATCTTGAATCGCCATTTTGAAACCAAACATGCTTGCAAATATAAGAACGTTTCTGCCGAAGAAAAAGGAAAGAAAGCTGATGAGATGGCTGTTCGAATACAAAAAGAGCAAAGCATTTTCACAAACAATTTGCATCCCAGGATGAGATTACAAGAGTGAGTTACATGATTGCACACAAAATCACCAAGAACAGCAAACCATTTTCTGAAGGAGAATTTATAAAGGAATGTATGGTTGACTGTGCCTCGATTTTATGCCCAGACAAGAAAAACTAGTTCAAGAACATTAGCTTGTCAAGGCGATCTAATGTGAGATGTGTCGAGGATATCTCTGAGAACCTGTATCTGCAGTTACAATATAAAGTAAGCAATTTTGCATGTTTTTCACTGGCACTCGATGAGAGTTGTGATGTCAAAGACACAGTCCAGTTGATAATTTTTTTTCGAGGTATCACCAAACATTTTGAGCTCACAGAAGAATTGGCATCAATGCAGTCAATCAAAGATATGACAACTGGTGAAGACTTTTTGGAGGCAGTAAATAAGTGTATCTTAAAATTAGGAGTGGAGTGGAAAAAATTGGTGAATGTGACCACCGATGGAAGCCCAAATCTGACAGGCAAAAATGTTGGGTTACTGAAAAGAATTCAAGATCAAGTCAAAGAAACAAATCCAGAACAGAATATTGTTTTTCTATACTGCATTATCCACCAAGAGGTCCTCTGTAAAAGTGTTCTAAAACTAGCAATGTCATGGACACAGTTACAAGAGTGGTCAACTACATTCGAGCAAGAGGATTAAACCACAGGCAATTTGTAACTCTGCTTAAGGAATTGGAATCCGAGCACATGGAATGTAAGATGGCTTAGTTTAGGAAAGGTCTTGAAAAGAGTGTGGGAACTGAGAACAGAAATTGATTTATTTTTGGGAATAAACAAAAAGATTCGGATTTTCCCCAGTTGAATGATGCGAATTGGCTCTATGATTTTGCATTTGCCGTTGATATCATGGGTCACATGAATGAACTGAATTCAAAACTGCAACGGAAGAGGGTCTTTGTGCACAATTTGTATTGCAGTGTCAAGTCATTTATGACAAAATAATTTATTTTATCGCGTCAGATAGGAAACAGGTTGTTCGCCAACTTTCCAACTTTTCAGCAGATTACTGTTTGTGATCAAAGCCTTAAAAAGTATACTTTGTCACCACTTGACTTATATGCCAAATTTTCTAGCCGATTCCAAGATTGCAATTTGATCGAAAATGAACTGTCTCTGGTCTCTTCACCTTTCTCATTTGATGTTCACAAAGCCACATTTGACGTCCAGCTCGAACTTATTGACCTGCAATGTGATCCATTGCTTGCGGAGCAATTCAAATCAGTGCCACTTCCCAGTTTTTAACGCTTCTCTTAATGAATATACCTTTCCAAAAATAAAGGCTGATGCCCGGAGGATGCTTGTGCTATTTGCATCAACATACATATGTGAGGAGACATTTTCTGTGATGAAATTCAATAAATTAAAACACAAAACTGTGATGACTGATGACCACCTTGCAGCAGGTCTGCATTGCAACAACGGAGACGATGCCTGATTTCAATTGTCTGGTTAGCGCACATCAACGCTTTCATTCTTCTCACATTCTCATCAATATGTGAATAAATGAATAAATATCGAATAAATGTCTGCTCAATGAGTTGTATTTATTTAACCTAATTTTAATGAATGTCAATTATATAGATTTAACTTTATGAGTGTACAAGGGTAAAATTTGATTTTGAGCTGTTATTAAGCATTTGCATCTATATTAAGTTTGTGGCCCGCGAAGCTTACCAAAACTCGTGAAGTGGCCCGCCAGCCAAAATAATTGCCCACCCCTGCTTTACAGTATTCTGTGAAGCACTTTGAGATGTCTTGATGATGTGATAAGATGCTATATCAAATGAAAGGATTAGTATTATTATTAACAATCCCCCAGATAAATTTGGTCATTTGTTTCATGGCTGTTTTGTGGCATATTGCTGAGGCTTTTTAATATAATAAAGTGCTACAAAAATACAATAAAAATTTTCCTTCTTTGTTTACAGAGCCTCAAATTTGCGGTTAGTGAAGGCATCCAAGCCATCGACAACCGTTTGGTTAAGCAAGAAGATGTCCGAAAGAAAAAGGTGAAATTGTGTTTGAAGCTGCAGTGGAAGATTTTTTCTATTTTTCTCCTATTATTGCGGTGTCTAATTGTATTGGAGAAAAGCAGCCCACACCAAAACTTTCAATTTAGAATTTTTTGCAGAAGAAAAATTCTACCTTGGAAAAAAAGCATTGAATTGGATGCGGAGAATATTTTTATTGTTTGATGCATTTCACCACCTGTATTTGCGAATTCTATATCTTAACACTTCTGAGTGAGGACATTTCTTCTGACTTCTCCCGTAATGTCTAAACAAAACTTCTGAGACAGAGGGAGAGAGATGACCGTAAGCACGATCAAAAAGGAAGGTCTTCAGGCGAGAATTTGAAGGTGGGGAGGGAGGTGGTAAGGCGGAGGTATCGAGGGAGAGAGTTCCAGAGTTTCAGGGTGTAGTAGTTGAAGGCACAGCCACTGATTGTGGAACGGAGGGCATGAGGGACAAACAGGAGGCTGGAGCCAGCCAAATGGAGGCAGAGGGTGGTGAAGTGGGTGGTAAGCAGGTTGGAGGGGTAGGGAGGTGCAAGGGCATGAACGGATTTGAAAACGAGTGAGAGGATCTTTAAATCGATCCATTAGTGAACTATGTAGATATATATAAAGTCCAGTGAAATGTCTAGTGAGTGCTGAATTATCAGAGGTGCGTCCATCGATTTTTGGAATAGAGAAAGGATTTTGTTTTGTGCCTATTTTAGAATTCCTTAGAATATTTGTGAAGTCCTGTAGCTCAGTGGTTAAGAGCACTCGCCTCTCAAGCGAGAGACCTGGGTTTGATTCCCAACAGGGTGAAACCTTGGGAAAATTTCCTTACTCCACACGCCTAATAATAATCCTTCAAGAAAAAAATAATAAAATTGGTCACTTCAATCCATGACTGTTTGTGGGGCATTGCTGTGCGCAATTAGCTGCTACGTTTCGCCAACAAATATACAGTCGATTCACTTTATAGTATATTTTGTGAAGCGCTTTGGGACGTCGAGAGGACGTGAAAAGCGCTATATCAAATGCAAGCATTATTATTATTATATATTTGTATCCCATAATCCTCTACTCCTTCAATTGTTTTGATTGTTTTAGCACTTGGTGTTACAATTTCAATCCCAATTCTTTCTTGACATTACTTAACATTTATTGCAATCTGTGTACAATGCGCTAAGTTTCTACCATATGTAAGAAACAACAGAACAATTCTAATGTGTGACAAACTAGCCTTTGAGTACTGTTGCAGGAATTAAAAAAAAACTTGCTTTATTGTTGAATTTAAATACCTATGACAGGAAAAAAAAATCCTCTTTATATGCGTATCTTGTAGATGTGTGTTTTGAGGTTGTTTCAAGTGATTCGATCAGTCGAAAAAATTGAAAAGATTCTTCATTCTCAGTCTTCAAGGGAGCTGCCTTCCTCAGAGAAGAGTGGGTAAGTGTTAAGTTTCAGCTAGTCACAAAGTTCATTTTGTGCGAGACACCTGAGTTCAATTCCAGGCAGAGGGCGAAACCTTGGGCAAGTTTCCTTACTCCACACAGAGCCTAATAATAATCCCTCCAAAACCAAAAACAATAATAAATTGGTCATTTTCAATCTACGACTGTTTGTGGGACATTGCTGTGCGCAATTGGCTGCCGCGTTCGCCCACAAATATACAGTCAATTCACTTTCGTGTGTTCTGTGAAGCGCTTTGGGATGTCCTCCCCGTGAAAAGCGCTATATCAAATGCAAGGATTATTATTATTATTATTTTCTCTGTTGAATATGGCTGAAGTCTTTCGATGTGTGAAATTAAGAAAAAGAGATTGCCTAGTTCATCATAAAGTTGCCTCCCACTATCAGATTCACTTGTAGTTGTTTGCCCACCTTCCCCATCTCTTCCACTTGTTCCCCTAATCACCATTCTCCTTCCTCCCATTCCTCTCCTCTTTCTTTCTCTCGACTCCCACTCCCTCAGTGTTTTTTAATGGGTAGGGAATCAAAATGGCCACCACTGACTTCATTTTCCTTCAGTTTCCTTACTCCACACGCCTGATAATAACCCCTCAAAAAAAAACAATAATAATTTGGTCACTCAATCCACGACTGTTTGTGGGACGCTGCTGTGCGTGATTGGCTGCCGCATTTCGTCCACATATAGTCAATTCACTTTACAGTATATTCTGTGAAGCGTTTTGAGGGGTCGAGAAGAGGTGAAAAGCGCTATAACAAATGTAAGGATTATTATTATTATTTCCGAGCAAAAGTGGGATTGGGAAAGAGGCTCTCGTGTAGGTTTTGTGCGTCACTTGGTAGCACTCTTACCTCTGAATCAGAAGGTTATGTGTTCTAGCTCCAATCAAGGACTCAGAACTCATATCTTGTCGTCTTAACTAATAGACCCAGTTTAGTGTCGTATTGTTGGAAGTATTGTCCTTCAGATGGGACATTAAATTGAGGTCCAGGATTAATGATTCATTAAAGATTCCATGGCCCAATTTGATAAGAGAAGGGAGTTTTTTTCAGTGTTCTGGATGACAACCCCTCAGATAAAATTGGTCATTCACTTCAACGGCTGTTTGTGGGACGTTGGTGTATGCAAATTGGCTTTAGTTTTCAAAATAGTCAGTATACCTTTACTGTGAAGCTCTTTGAGATATCTTCCCGCCGTGAAAGCGACTATATTAAGGATTATAATTATTATTACTACAAGGTGGGTAATCATTGCCATCATTTCTTAAAAAAAACTAGCTACAGAAAGTCGATCAGTGTTATGGTCTCGTGAAGTGTTTTATTGAATCCCACGAAAAGTTGTAACGGTTACTTTGTATAGAATCACCATGCCAGACAATTAAATATTTTCTTACATGTTTTGTAATTGGGCGCCAAGCTAGCACCGTGAAGCACCTTGGGATGTCCTCATGAAATGCGTTATATAGATGAAATTTGTACTGTAGATACTTTAGGAACATGGGGATTTTTGTTGGAGCTGATTTACATTGTGATTTGCTTTGTTTCCATTGCAGACCATCCTTAGCTGGGCAGATGTTAGAAAGGATTGGCACTGAATTTAACCAATTACATTTTCATGCTGTACAGAGTAAGGGAATGCCGCTTTTGGACAAAGTGAGACCTGTAAGTGTGATGTATACTTTGTTATGTTTTTCTTTCTGGATAAAAGGATTTTCTATAGACCTTAAGAGGCAAATTGAAGAGACAGAATGAATTCAACATGATAACAAGCTGTTTTGTTAGTTTTACAGATTGTCTCAGAATATTGTAGCTATTCAGAAAATGCTTTTGAATGTTTTGGACCAAAAAGAAAAGCTGCTTTATTTATCATAGATAGTGAATATCACAAGACCTTCAGTTACAGTGAAGGAACTTCAATATAAAAGTGGTTAGTGATGAACTGTATGAGTAACCAAAAAATCATGATACTATTATAAAGAAATGATTTTTTTTAGATAGAGTAGAGTAGAATAGAGTAGATATCATGACTTTTTGGTCATGCTGTAGATAGGAGTTAGTTGTCTCCTGAATATAGCCATATCTTTTGAGAGGATTAACTGACTGTTCCAGTATAAATCAGGATACAGCAGGCAACACTGATCAGGGTTTGAAAAGGGTTTTGGAAACAGGTAGGAGGAGATATTTGGGGAGGGAGTTCCAGAGAGCAGAGTTATAGTGAAAACTTGGCTTTCAGTGGTGGAGAGAAGGGTGTACAGTAGTTCTTAGTTTGCAGAATGTTAGTAGTGGGCAGGAGGGATTAAGTGAGGAGATTTCAGCGGTAAGGAACAATTTGAAAGTCAGAATGAGGAATAGAGTGAAAGTTGAGGATACAGGCATGGACGGGCCAAGGGAAGAGGAGTTTGGAGGATGTTAGACGGAGCGTTTTAAAAATTCCTTCACCTACATGGTGAACTTTGTAGGTGCAAAAAGTAATTTTTCTCAAAGACTCTTTCATGGGGGGAAAAAAAGGTTTGGAAGTAACTTTCTGTCAAAAGATGAGCTTTTTTCCATCTCAATTTGGTATGTGTGTGCGCGCGCGCAAAAATGTTTCTCCATTCATCAAACAGCCACATCTGCGCTGAAGAATGCCTTCACTGTCCATCTGTTGGTACTGCCAGCAAACAGAGAGATTTTCATTAATTGTATTGATTTCTGTTTCAGCGAATAGCTGGGATTACAGCCATGCTCCAGCAGTCTTTGGAAGGACTTCTCTTAGAAGGTCTACAAACTGCTAACATTGAGATTGTGCGCCCATGTTTGCGGACTTATGCAACCATAGATAAAACAAGGGATGCAGAAGCCCTGATTGGCCAGGTGCTTGTGAAACCATATGTGGAAGAGGTGAGAGCTATGATAATAACGATGCCTTATAATCATTTTAGTATTATACTAATAAACTAAACTAAAAATGAATACAGTAAAAAAAATTAGGGTTTTTTGGTTGCTTTTTTAAAAATCTTTCTGGCCTTATAAATTCAATTTACAGTCTATTCTGTGAAGCGCTTTGAGACATCGAGAAGACGTGAAAAGCGCTATATCAAATGCAAGGATTATTATTATAAAGTTGTGTTTCAATTATTTGTTTGAATTATTTTATTCATTGAGTAATTCTGGCCTTAAGCTTGTCCAGCTAGCATTCCAACACAATACAACAGCAACAACAAATTGTACTTTTAGCACTTTTATAATAAAATCTTCCCAGGGCCCTGGAGGAGTGCTGTATTGTTAGAGGTGCCGTCTTCTGGATGAGACGTTGGCATGTTAAATTTGTCATGTTTGAAAAATATCCTACACTTTGATGTGATGGAGCTATCTTGGGCTTCACTTTCCATTCACAGCTATGTCTTTCTCTTTGAGTTTAAATGCATATTTTCATTTTCAGGTAATTAATGAACAATATGTTCAGTCTCGTACCAATGGCCTTCAAGAAATGTATGCGAGGCTGCTCGACTTCATTCCAAACCATTGCCGCCTCCTGCGAGTGGTGACGGGAGGAACAGTCACAGGGTGAGTCACATTTTACTTATAATAATCTGTTCATTTAGTATTGCACCTTTCAATTTAAGACATCACAAAGTTCTTCACGTTTTTCATACACACAAGGTATACAATAATAAAAGTTTTTTTTGTGTTTCTCTTCAGTTTGCCATGTCTGTTTACTTTTCCAAGAAGCAGTGAATCCTGTTCCCAATTCCGGGTTCTTTCCTGATATTTTGTTAATATACTTCCTATGTATGTGCTTGCTCAATTTCTTTTAATAGCCGTCCCTGGCAAATTATACCCTACCACACGATGCTAGGCTTTTAGGAGAAGTTCTTCTGGAACTCCCCTAGTTGTAATCTTGAATTCATAGAATCATAGAATTTTACGGCACAAAAGGATGCCATTCGGTCCATCGTACCTGTGTCGTCTATTTCAAAGAGCTACTAAATAGTCCCACTCCCCTGCTGTTACCTCATAGCCCTGCAAATGTTTCCTTTTTAAGTACCTGCATAATTCCCTTTTGAAAGCTACTCTCCAATCTGCTTTCACCACCCTTTCAGGCAGTGCATTCCAGACCGTAACAACTCTAGGTAAAAAGATTCATGGCATTTTTTCTCAAATCCCCTATTGCCCGACATATTGCCAGTCAGCACTTGCTTTCTGTGAACCAAAGCTCTAAAGAGTAAGGTAGTCCAAGCTTAAGAAGTAACAGGAAGCTTGTCACTGTCGCAATGGCAAGATGCAAGTTTTAGCTGGTTAAAGTCCTCTAGCTCAGTGGTTAGAGCATTTGCCTCTCAAGCGAGAGACCTGGATTCGATCCCTAGCAGGGCGAAATGTTGAGCAAGTTTCCTTACTCCACACGCCTCTATATAACTATATAATTAGCAATAACAACAACAATAACAAGAAGATTTCATTTATAGAGCGCCTTTCACGTTGGGAGGACGTCCCAAGGCGCCGGACAATTGGTTCGGGACCCGAGTAGGGGGGAAATGGTCAGGGTGAGGGGAGGGAAGGGAGGGAGTGAGGAGTGGGGAAATGGTCAGGGTGAGGGGAGGGAAGGGAGGGAGCGAGGAGGGGGAAGAGAGTCGAGAGGGGAGCTGAAGGCACGGTCGAAGAGAAAGGTCTTGAGACTGGCCTTGAAGGAGAAAAGGGAGGAAGCAAAGCGAAGGCACTGGGGGATAGAGTTCCAGAGCCTGGGGGCTAAGAGGCTGAAGGCCCGGCCACTGATGGTAGGGCGGTTGGGGCGAAGGATGTGGAGCAGACCGGAGCCAGAGGAACGGAGGGTACGGGCAGGTAAGTAGGGGGATAGTAGATCGGAGAGGTAGGAGGGAGCGAGGCCGTGAATGGCCTTGTAGGTGAGGATGAGGATCTTGAATTCGATCTTGAAATAAGTAGGAACCTGGTTGTTAGTCGATTGGCAGATCGCTTTTCTGGGGTAATAATTCTTCAAAAAAAATTGGTCACTTCAATCCATGACTGTGGGATACTGCAGTGTGCAATTGGCTGCCTTGTTTCGCCCACAAAAATATATCGTCAATTCACTTTACAGTATTTTCTGAGAAGCGCTTTGAGACGTATCGAAGACGTGATAAGGCATGATATCAAATGCAACGATTATTATTATTAAACACCAGCAGTAACCTCAGTACAAGACTAGGGTTCCCAACTCTTGTCTCTTGCTAACCCCATACCTATCAACAATTTGTAATTTTTCAGGGATTTGTTAAGTAGAGTGAGTCCCACTGGAGAGAGTGTGCATTCGATTCCAGACAAAGGGAAGTCTCCATGCTTAGGTGGAATCTCATTTGTTTGGTTTGGATAATCTTAAGCATGGCGATGGGTATTCAGGTGTTAGTTGACCAGAAAAATGGCAGACTAGTTCCATTTTCTGCTTAGATATTCAGTTGCTGTATAAACACCACATATTGTGAAATGCTACAGTATTATTTAGCCTCTCCTCAATATCATTGTTTTCTTTGTCCTCTTTACTCCCCTTTCTATGAACCTCAACTGCAGTCTTTTAGCACACTCAATCTTTTATTTTGCATGTAACAAGATTTAACAATAATCATCCTTTACAATTAGTGTGTTTGTAAATGGAGGCAGAGTCAATTTTGTGGTGGGTACATATATTTGCCAAAGCCCGTCACATGAGGACCTGGATTAAACAGCTGTTGAGTAAGCATTGGACTTGGACCTCAAGTACATCAAGGCGGCTGGCCCGTCACAAGCTGCCCATTAAAAGTCCTCCCACCACGCTGAAGATAAATGTATGTCAAATAGCTGATAAGGAAACTGAGGCTTGGGGCCACAGCTGTTGGAAGGCATGGCAGTCTGTGTTCATGAACACACATTCACACATCTAGGGCTTTGAATCCACCTTAATTGTTCTGCAGAGATAAGCAGCTGCTGCTTAACCTCCACAACCATTGCTAATGGGAAAGGATGTGTGTCTGAGCTGTGGGCAGGAGATAATAATAATAATCCTTGCACTTGATACAGTGCCTTATCACATCTTCGAGACGTCTCAAAGCACTTCACAGAATATACTGGAAGGTGACTTGACTGTATATTTTGTGGGCGAAACCAATTGCGCACAGCAATCTCCCACAAACAGTCATGGATTGAGTGACCAATTTATTATTTTTTTGAAGGAATTATTAACCCGGAAAAGCTTTCATACTGTTTGCCCAGCTAACCTAGGCAAACAGCAGGAAAGCTTTTCCTTGCAGGGCTTTGGTTTGCAGGGAGATGAAGCAGTCCATTGTATCAGCCAGGCTCAGTTGATAGCATTCTCGCTTCTTAGGTTGTGGGTTCAAGCCCCATTGTGGAGTTCCACTCTATACAGTGCTGGAGTGGGGGTGCTGGGGGTTAGCCAATCCACTAACAACTGGTTTCCTACTTACTGCTAGTGGAGTAAGGAAATTTCCCCAACGTTTTGCCTGCCGCGAATCAAACCCAAATCTCTCCTTTGCGAGGCGAGTGCTCTAACCACTGAGCTACGGACTCCACAAATGTATGCTTGTTGATATGTACATCAACAAGCAACAAATTACATTTATATAGCGCCTTTCACATGGGGATACTGGCTGAGTGGAAGTCCATTTCATTAGAACATGGGTTTGATTATTGGAAATTTAGAGCCCCAAATTTACTTAAAATAAAGTAACACATTTATAAAATGTGTTGCTTCATCACACGGCGATCAGAAGACAAGATGCCGGCCAGCATGAGATGACAGCACGTCCAGCCGGGCTCATCGGCAGGACCTGGAAGGGTAGACCAGTTACTGGGGGCAGGGAGTCATCCCACTCAGCTCATGTTAACCCTGCAAACCAAAGCCCTAATGGGCAGGGTGGTCCTCGCTGGACAATCAGCAGGAAAGCTTGCCAGACAATGCTCTTGATGGCAAGCTATGCAGTTTTAGCTGGTTAGACCCCAGTAGTTACTCCAACGCACACTGAAGGGTCACCAAGCCTTGGCTCTTGCCAAACTGCGCCTAACACTTTCCGGAATTAGATAAGCATGGTTTCCGCATGTGTCAGATACCTGGCTGATGAAAAAAAATGAGAAGCCAAAAATCTAGGTGATTATATGTTGTGAGAACTGTAATTCTATGTGAAGTTGATGTGTGACTTACGAATTCAAAAAACTAATGCAGATTGTGTTGTCTAATTGAACAATTCTTTTTCACACATTTCAGTGATAAGGCAGAAGTGATTCCAGGCTACGACTTTTCAGTAAATTCAGTCTGGCCAGAAATAGTGCGAGGTTTAGAGGAAAAAATGCCATCACTATTTAATCCAGGGAATCCAGACACTTTTCACCAGGTAAAATCAATACAAGAAAGCTTTTATTTCTATAAGCATAATTTCAGTATATATAGCTAACTTTACTAATGTTGTGCTGAGTTATAATGATGATATAATACTCCTTGCCTTTCACGTTGGGAGGATCTTTAAAGTCCACCTGAAAACGGGCAGACAGGACCTTGGTTTAACGTCTCATCTGAAGGATAGCATCTCCCAACAATGCAGTGCTCAACCCTCAGCACTGCGTGGAGTGGGACTCCACAATGGGGCTTGAACCCACAACTGAGCCGGGCTGATGGACTGCTTCATCTCCCTGCAAGCCAAAGCCTTAACGTGTAGGGTGGTCCTAGCTGGGCAAACAGTAGGAAAGTTTGAAAGACAGTGCTCAAGCTGTATTAGCTGGTTAATCTGGTTAAACTCCAACAGTTACCCGGATAGCCCCTATCCTTTCCCATACTCGGCTTTATGGGCCCATCATCCCATCCTTACTGAGCTCCAACGGCTATTTATCCATTAGCAGCTTGGCTTTAAGATTCGCATTCTGACTTTCAAATGCTTCCACGTCCTTGCTCTACCTGTGATTTGCAGTTCTACTCTTCCACCCATTCCCTCTACCTAGCCTGCTCCATGAAACCTGTCCCCTTCGCCCTACCACCAGCCGCTTTGCCCCCACTCTTTGAAATTCATCAGCCTTGCTCCCACCATCTTTGCTTTTTATACATTTAAAAACCTATTTATTTATTATTAATAATAATTATCCTTGCATTTGATAGTGTACCTAATCACATTAGAACATAAGAATTTGCTGGATGAAAGAAGACCAAGGTCCATCCAGTTTGCCTTCCACCATCCTGGCAATGGCTTGACCTAAACTGTCGTGTCCTAAACTATATATTGTATCCCGAGTTATTATTTTGTAACTATCTAATTTGTTCTTGAAACAAACAACACTTTCTGTTTCCACCGTCTCCCTAGAGAGCCTGTTCCATACTCGTTCACTGAAGCAGTGTTTCCGCCGATTTGTTCTGAATTTACCTCTCTTCAATCGCAGGCCATGTTCTCTAGTTCTACTGTTCAGTACCAGATAAAACAACTTATCCTGGTCTACATTATCTATTCCCTTAAAGAATCTTAAAGACTGTAATCATATCGTCCCTCAACCTTCTCTTCTCCAGAGTGAACATGCCCAGTTTACCTAATTGCTCCTCATAGTCCCTCCATCTCCTCAATCATTCTGGTTGCCCTCTTCTGTATCCTCTCAATCTCTGCCACATCATTTTTATATTGTGGTGACCAGAACTGCACACAGTATTCCAAGGCGTTGAACGTCTCAAAACGCTTCATAGAATATAATGTAAAATGGAGTGACTGTATTTTGTATGTGAAACGCGGCAGCCAATTGCACACGGCAATTTTGACAGTGTCCTTGATCACCTCCCTCCCACTATCTCCCCCTTGCTCCTATCCTCTCTTCGAAGTGCTTTGAGACATTTAACTACATGAAAGGTGCAAACTGGTATTGGAGTGGAAGTCCAAGCAGGGTGTCAGAACCATAGAGGCCATTCGTCCAATTGTGCTGGCTCTTTGTGAGAGCAACCTCCCTCCCTATTCAGTCTCATTTATTATAAATAAAAGAGGGGCGGAGGGGTAAGAGGAGGTTCTTTTAAGACTGGGTTTCAAAAGCAGAGGTGGAGGGATTATGGACATATTCTAATCTGGTGATAATCTCTGGATGATTGACATCAATCTATTTGCTGACAATTCATTTTGAGTTGCAGAAGTACACTATTACAATGGAATTTATTAGAAAATTCGAGTGGCAATGTGGCTCACAAGCAAGTGTGAAGAGATTGCGATCACATCCAACTTACATGACTTTCAACAATAAATGGAGCCTTTCGGTTTACTTTCAGATCAGGTAAGCAACTAGTCTTGATTACAGATTACGTCTTATCTCCAGTCTTGTGTACACTTCAGTTGAGAGTATAATAATTGCACTACATGCAGTAATGTGAAGCACTTTGAGACGTCCTCGCAGTGTGAAAGACGCTATGTGTTGGACCGTCAATGAATTTATATAACTCTTTTCGTGTTGGGAGGACATTTCCGGCACTTCACACAGCTAACTGAGTCTGAACTAGGGGGAACAACAAGGTTGGTGGGAGGGCAGAAAGATGGCCAAAAGCGCGATCAAAAATATAATCTTTAAGGTAAGTTTTGAAGATGGATAGGAATCGGGCATGGCGGAGGGACTTTGGGATAGAGTTCCAAAGAGCACGGCAGAATGGCTGAAATGACTTGCTCCCTCTCTCGGTCACGTCGTTCAAGATTTGTCTAAAAACTTACCTCTTTGACTGCGCTTTCAGTCATCTATCCCTTCCCCATTCCCTCAGCTCCCACCCCAACTCCCTGGTGTCAGTATAGGTAAGCTCCTTCGGATGTCTTCCTGACTGAGAAGAAAGATGCCTAAAAGAGCGGTCAAAGGGACTGAACTTGAATGGGTGGGAGGGGAATGGAATGAACGAGGTGACAATAACTAACAAATATTGCAGTACAAATTTATTTTGTAATTATAAATAACAAAAACATGTACAACTGTTTTAAAAGGATGGCAAAAATGAACATTTTTATTTGATCTTGCCTTCTTTGCAGGTTTAAAGAAATTGCTGGCAGTTTAGAGGCCTGTATGTCTGAAGATTTGAAGGAAGCACCAGGTAATTTTGTAACTAGCAGAAATTTGAAGTAGTAAGACTTAAAACTGTCAACAACAACAAAAACTTGGATTTATATAGCACCCTCCATGCTGGACGGTGTCTCAGAGCGCTTCACAATAACGGATCTCGGGGCCGAGCCAGGGAGAAGGGGAGGAAAGTGACCAAAGACGCGGTCGAAAAGAAAGTTCTTCAGCTGAGACCTGAAAATAGGAAGAGAGGGGGCGAGGTGAATGAAGTGAGGAAGGGAGTTCCAGAGCCTCTGGGCATAATTGCAGAAGGCACAGCTGCCGAGGGTGGAGCGGAGGACTCGGAGGACAAGGAGGAGGCCAGACCCAGTGGAACGAAGGCAACGGGCACTATTGTGAGGAGAGAGGAGGTCAGAGAGGTAGGGGGTTGCAGAGGAGTGGAGGGATTTGAAGACAAGGGTGAAGATCTTGAAGTCGATCCTCTCTGGGCCAGGCAGCCAGTGCAGTCTGGCGAGGACTGGGGTAATTGGGGAGCGGAGTTTGGTGCGGGTAAGAATGCGGGCGGCAGAATTTTGTATAACCTGGATTTTATGGATGGGAGGCCGGCGAGGAGGGCGTTAGAATAGTCCAGCCGAGAGGTGACAAAGGCATGGACCAGGGTTTCAGCGGCTTTTGGAGTGAGGTATTAGCGGAGATGGGCGATTTGTCAGAGGTGGAAGAAAGTGGTGCTGGTGAGGGACCGGATGTGGGGGAGGAAGGATAATTGGGGGTCGAACTTGACGTCTAGGTTGCGTACGATTTTGGAGATAGTGTGCACTCACACACACACTATCTCTCTCGCTCACTCTGTCTTGGGCTATCTGATTATTGTGTGTGATGTGCCTCTCTCTACCTTTGTAATTCTTTGCGTATCTGGATAGGATCTCTCCACCTCGTGCTGTTGTGTCACAGGACACCCTCTATTAAAATTACAATACCTCGCTGCATCTTAAAATAAAACCCTGATTTCTTAGCTGAGATGACTTCTGCATCAGTGGAGAAGGAGATAGCCAGCCCTGTACAGATAGTCAGTGGCTGTTGCATTGTACACACTGCTGAGTACGTCTGGCACTGAGGAGCACATGCTACTTATTGGTGGATTGTGGTAAAGAGAAAGTATTGGTACGCCCTCTGGTGGGCGTATCCAGAACAAGAGGGCGTCAACTTAAAATTAGAGCTGTGCCATTCAAGAGTGAAATCAGGAGGCAGTTTTTCACCCAAAGGATAGTGGAAATCTGGAGCTCTCACCCCCAAAAGGCTGCAGATGCTGGATCCATTCCCATCTTCAAGATAGATATTTGTTAGATCAGGGTATTGAGGATACGGGGCAAGGGCGGGTAATTGGAGTTGAGATACAGATCTGTCATGATCCTATAGAATGGTGGAACAGGCTCGAAGGGCTGAATGGCCTCCTCCTGTTTCTATGAAATAATGACACATTGTGACTCCTCAGATTTCCAATGAATGGCCAAAGTTTATTTTTCCTTTTTGTTTGCTCAGCCATCTGTCACATTGAGTAACAGTTAACTCTCATCAGTTTCTTTATTTGTGTTCTCAAAGCTAGGGTAACAACAGCAACAGCTAGCATGTATATAATGCCCTTCATACAGCGTAGTGTCTCAGAGCGCCTACAATGATCTGAACTTCAATTTCTCCGAAACATCCAGCCACAAGTTCTCATCGGAACATCAAGCTATTTAAGAGGAAACTTAAATTCAGAGTTTCCTCTAAATTGTCCAAATTATTCAAAGATTCTGGCATCCCTGTCATCATCTGTACCAGGCTCCGCATCCCCATCACCTCAGTTCTTTGAAGACTTTGCTCTTCGTTTGTGCCTTTGGTTACTCACCCCCCCAACCCCGCTTCCAGCTCAGCATCAAGCTACGCCACTGTTTAGTGCTCTGAGACGCTACCGCACGTGAAATGTGCCATATAAATGCAGGCTGTTGTTGTTGAAACTCGATGGCAACATGAAGGAGAAAGGAGTAGAGGGGAATAGGAGCAGTCAGACTGGTCTTTTTCTCTGCTGTAACCTGCCAGAGGTTCAGAGGCTGAGCCGCCTTCAGAGAGGTTGACTCACCAGCGCTCAGGGTAATTGAATGGCACTGCTGGAGAAAATCCCTTGCGGCGTTGGAATAGGAATGTTGTGAAAGTGTGAAGAATAATTCAGAGCTAATTTTCAATCCGTTTCGTGTTATAGACAGCAGTGGGTACAATCTGCTGGTGACACATGTGCTCTGGCAGAATCTAGTTCAATGCTGGTCAGATCACGTTTACCTTCCCTCGCTGGCTCATCGCTTCTGGAAAATGACTTTACAGTTGTTAGCACGTTATGCCAAGTGGATAGAGGAGGTAAGTAAATGTGTTCGGGTAAACTTCATAGTAAAAAGAGGAGCAGCATAGCTTAAACATTTTTTTTAACTGCTCAGCCGGGCCTCCAAACTCCAAGTGAGTCTCCAAACCACCTATACATGGAAATCCCAGAGACAGATTGTTGTAATGGAATAATGGAATGGTCACTCTCTCCCTGGAGGGACACATCCTGCTTACCTAATTCTGGAAAGTATTAGGCACAGGTTGGCAAGAGCCAAGGCTTGGGGACCCCAGAGTGTGTGTTGGGATAACTGCTGGAGTCTAACCAGATAAAACCACATAGCTTGCCATTGATATTGCTGCCTGGCAAGCTTTCTCACTGCTTGCCCAGCTAGGACCACCCTACCCATTAGGGCTTTGGCTTGTAGGGTTAACAGGAGCTAATTAGGATGACTCCCTGCCCCCAGTGACCGGTCTGCCTTTCCAAGTCCTGCCGATGAGCCAGGCCGGGCTGTGCTGTCATCAGCAGTGCCCTGGAATACTGCGGACCCACCTGGCTCAGGAACTGAACTAGAGATCGTCACACAGGTCTGGCTCGATTCTGACATTCCATTGCCAGGCACGTCACCTTGGAGCCAGTTCAGCTCTAAGGAGACCCCATTTAAGGATTATTATGATGAGCAAACTGGTACTGTAGTAGTTAATACCTCCTTATGTGCAGAGCTTTCCCATCTCCTGGTTGAAGGTCTTTCTCAGATAGTGGATATCTGACTTCACAGCCACCATCACTTCTGTTACCTCTCAGGAAACCAGCCTTGCTACCCACACTGTAGCACACTGTACACTGTAAATTCATAATTCTAAATATTGTAAGATGATGAAATTGATGTAGACATTACAGGCTTTCTAAATAAAATGTTAAAACTGAGTTTCTAGGTGGAGAAAATATTTTGAAATAGTTTTGCATTAAGGTTTAAGTTGATAGTACAATTGGAAATGTATTTCCTAACTACTGTTCCCTTTTCACAGTTGCCAATTGTTTCCTCAAGCAAGGATTTTAGTCAGGGAGCTAAATCTGTGTCTGCCAACGGCAACTCTACAACATCCTCTACAAGTGCAAATAATGAGGAACAAGGAAATGGACTTAATGGAGCTGTGAAAGCTGTGCAGTGTCTATCTGTCAATCAACTTGTGTATGTTATCGCTGATCTGGATAAGATCCAGGATCAAGTAAGATTTTGTAAAATCTGATACATTTTCAATCTTGGTAAAATTATGAAAAAAAACATCTCTGTAGCTAGACAGTAAAAAAATCACGTAAGGTGTATTAGTCGGGAAAGTAACAATTTAATATGACTTATGAGTTAGAAGGTGATTAATAGGAGTCATATAAAGAAATCCAAGTAGTTTTGATAAGAAACTGAATGGGACTCGGGTAAATATACGTCTTAGGTGATTATGCTATTTATAAAGATAAGGCTTATGCGAGTTTTAGTGTATATAAATTTGGTAGAGACCACACACACTTTTATTCCTTTTCCATCGGGGGTCAAAGCATATAAATTGCTGAACCTATCTTGAAACATTTCTGTCCTGGAAATTTTGAGAGAAACCACAAAAGAACATATGTAGTAAGTGACATCGAGTGAACTGGTGGTAAGCGGCACATAGTTACTGGCTGCTTTGACTGAGCAGCAGGTCTCATCATGGCGGCTATTTTGCTGCCACTTGGGCTCAGTGTTCTTGTGTTCTGCATGACCACTGGCCATTACCAAGTCTGTCTTTGTCTTACCCATGATTTTCTGCCTTGCTTCCGTAGTCGCATATCTAATAGGGAATAGAACTTCAAACTGAGCAAAGAGGTTTGACAGACAACTTTGAAATTCATGTTCGATGGGCCATCTTAACCACTTCAACTAAAATGCCATTTACTTAGAGCAGTTAACGTTTGTCTCATCAAACAGTGTCGGGAAAATGGCAGAGCTGCACAAGCCGAGCTCTAATTTGGTAATTGTGTATTCGTAACAGTCGTGTATACTTAAAATGTCACCCGCTGTAATCTCACATTCTTTCCCTTAATCTCACTGCAGCTTCCAGAACTTTTGGAGATAATTAGACCCAAATTAGAACATGTTGGTTTGGAGAATTTCTCCCTTATTTCAGGTAAGATTTGTTTGTTCCTTTGAGTATTTAATAATAATAATCCTTGCATTTGATATAGTGCCTTATCACGTCTTTGAGATGTCTCAAAGCGCTTCACAGGATATAATGTAAAGTGTTGTAACTGTAAATTTTATCGGCGAAACTCAGCAGCTCATTGCGCACACCAGTGCCCCACAAGCAGTCATGGATTGAGTGACCAAATTATTATTATTAATATTTTGAAAGGATTATTATGTTATTTGTTGGAGGTGACATGCAAGGCAAGTATGCAAGTATGCAAGCCACTCATTTCTGTTGCTTTCCTCAAAGGAAATGCTGTTGAGAGATCTGCAATGGGGAGTGGGGGAGAGAGGGGGAAATACAGACAGAATACTGAAAGGTAGGAGATAATCTGCCTTTCACTTTCAAATCTGCATGCTCACATTTTCATAATTCTTAATACTTCAGGAAGAGAGTTTCTCCCAGTCTCTTGACTGACAATCCCCCAGATAAAATTAGTCATTCACTTTATTTTGTGGGACATTGCTGTGAGCAAATTAACTGCTATGTTTGCCTACAAATACACGGTCACTACACTTCATAGTAAAATCCTGTGGCGTGAAGTGCTTTGAGGCATCTCGACAAAGTGATGAGGTGCTATATCAAATGCAACGATTATTATTATGGTCAAAATAACATAGCCTCAGATACCATGGTAACTGGAAAGATACCAGTGATCCTGTAACAAGTCCCGTGTAAGTGAATTTAGCAGTGTTTCTGACTCAAAGCTTGAGAGCGTTAATGCTTTCATTGAACTCATTGACTCACCGTGTCAAAACAGTGTGGGGCAGGACTGAACACAGCAAACAGGATGCTGAAGTATATTGTCAAAGCAATTGAGTTCAGATTCCCCAAAATTATACTCAAACTGTACAGTTCTCCGGTTGGCAGCAACTGGAAGACTGCATACAGTTCAGGTCACTGTGATGTAGTAGAGAAAGTGCAAAGGAGACAAAAAGGATGATCTCTGGTGTTGGAGGAATGAGTTTGGAGCAATGACAAGCTCAGTTGTTAGTGCAGTTGCCTCACAAGCAGAGGACCTGGGTTTGATGCCTGGCATTGGGCAAGTTTCCTTACTCCACATGCCTCTGTTTACCTAGTAGTAAGTAGGAAGCCAGTTGTTAGTCGATTGGTGCATCACTTTTCCAGGTAATAACTCCTTCAAAAAAAATTAAAAATTGGTCACTCAATCCACGACTCTTTGTGGCACATTGCTGTGTGCAATTGGTGGCCGCGTTTCGGCCACAAAATACACAGTCACTACACTTTACAGTAAATTCTGTATAGCACTTTGAGACATTTCGAAGACGTGATAAGGCACTATATCAAATGCAAGGATTATTATTACGTTTGAGCTCAACAACCTTGAAAGGAGACATCTCAGAAGGAAAGTTTTCTTCAACTTTTTTAAAAAATAATAATCCTTGGATTTTGTAAGGCATCTTTCATGGTGGGAGGAGGTCTGAAAAGCGTTTCACAAGGTATATTTTAAAGTGTAGCTGCTGTGGTTTGTAGGTGAACACAGCAGCCAATTTGCACACAGCAATATACTAGATTCTAAATGAGATTGAGAACCACACTACAGTGATACGATTCTAATTGGTTACAATCATCACAAAACTATCAGTACATCAGTAAAAAAAAATTAGTCATTGAATCCACGACTGTTTGTGGGACACTTCCGTAGGCAATTGGCTGCTGCATTTCGCCCACAAAATATATAGTCACTCTACAGTATATTCCATGAAATGCTTTCAGACATCTCAACGAAGTGATGAGGTGATGTATCAAATGTAAGGAATATTATTCTGATATAAGAAGAAATACTTTTCCTTTGAAATTCTTTCAGTTCAATTATTGTTTTCCTTTTTTGTGTCAACAGAAGCATTGGCAGACTCGCAGAGCTCTCTGGTGGCCAGGATACCTGCACTTAGTGACCGCATCACTGAGGAGCTAAGTGAGAGTTGTTTCAGTTATCTTAAAAATGCTTCAGAGGTGCCAAGACTTTATCGCAGGACAAACAAGGTTAGTCTTTAGATCTTGTTTACGAACTGACATGCAGATTTACAAATTTGAAATGTCTTTATAATACAAAGCAGTTATCTTGTCCATCAGAGGAAGATGTGGATATGAACTGGGTTGCAATACCAGCAATACCAATGTTTTGCGATCAGTCGGGTGTCTGGCACACGTGGAAACCCATCATCATGCTTTAGAGTATCCAAAGCAAGTTGAGATTTCCGTGCATCCCACCTACACGTAGAAATTCCGGAGATATTTATTGGAATGGAATGCGTACTCTCTGCCTGGAGAGACACATTCTGCTTAACTTATCCCAACGAGTATTAGGTGCAGGTTGGCAAGAGCCAACACTTGGGAACCCCAGAGTGTGCTTTGGGGTAACTGCTGGAGTCTAATCAGCTAAAACCGCATAGCTTCCAATGAGAGCGCTGTCTGGCAAGCTTTGCCGCTTCTTGTCCAGCTAGGACAACAACAACAACCACCTAAGCGCTCTGAGACACTATCCTGCGTGGAGGACGCTATATAAGTGCAAGTTGTTTTTGGCTCAGAAACTGGACTAGAGTCCATCACAGAGGGCTGGCTCGATTACGATATTGCCAAACATGTCACCTTGAGGCCAGTTCAGCACCAAGGGGACCCCATTTACCTCACCCACCCCACTCCCAGGGAAGATGGCACTATATAAATGCAAGTTGTTGTTGTTTATCATTGGAAGCATGTACACAACATTGCTAGAGACCTGATGGATTCACTGACCAGTGACATCACGCCCACAGCAACCCCACACTCCTGCACATACACACAAAAGGATTTTGCATGTAGCATCTTCATATAGTCCTTTTTTTAGCACTTGATGCCTTCTCAGCATGGTCAAGTTTAGTTGCACAGTTAACAAGTGTTGTGAATTAAAACTTCCTGTCTTTATCACTGACTATGAACATCTAAAATACTGTTCCAGTGTAATAGCCCTTGCATTTGTATTGTATTCCAGGAGCTCCCCACCAAAGCTTCTCTGTATGTTGAAAATGCATTGAAACCATTTCACCGTCTTCAAAGTGAGTATGGGAACGTTGTGAAAGACTACAGAATGCAGGAATGGATGACAGGTGCTCTAAAAAATAGCATCGGAAGGTAAATGATCTGTCATGTCGAGTACATTCTAAATTTGCTACTTTATCCATCCAGTTACAAATCCTGTCTGTCTCTAATGCTTAATATTTTGTCTAACCCAGATTAAATCTCATTTATTCTCATGTTATGCCTCATCTGGAGTATTGCTTCCAATTCTGAGCACCACACTTTAGGAAGTATGTCAGGTCCTTGGGAGAGGGTGCAGAGGAAATTTACCAGAATGATAGCAGGGCGCTGAATGATTCAGTTACGTGGAGAGACTAAGATTGTTTTCCTTAGAGCAGAGAAGGCTAAGGGGAGATTTAATAGAGGTGTTCAAAATTATGAGCGGAATTGATAGAGTAGATAGGGAGAATTATTATTATTAAACTGTTTCCTCTGGCAGGTGGGTCGATAACCAGAAGACACAGATTTAAGATAATTGGCAAAACAACCAGAGGGGAGACTAGGAAGGTGTTTTCTTGGAATGCTCTACCTGAAAGGGTGGTGGAAGCAGATTCGATAATAGCTTTCAAAAGGGAATTGGATAGATATTTGAAAACAAAAATTTGCAGGGCTATGGAGTAGCCAAACTGTTTGAGATAATATAGTTCATTGAAGTGTTCTTTTGCCTTGTGGAATAATCTGAAATTTTTTTTTCCACACACACACCCCTTTCCCCCCCAGATATTACGAAACTGTCTCTGATGTTCTCAGTTCAGTTAAAAAGATGGAGGAGAGCCTAAAACGCTTGAAACAAGCCCGGAAAAGTGCAAATATAAGCAGCATTGGAACAAATAGCGGCAACAGTGATGATAGCAAAATAAGACTGCAGCTTGCTTTCGATGTTGAATCCCTAGGGGAACGAGTAAGTGAATGAAGATTCATGTTTGTTGTGAATAAAAGAAAGGCAAATCAGCCCAATAGTATTCTGCATGTGGAGATTGAAAGATACATCTGTACTGCTAGACAATCTGAAATAATAATAGTAATCCTTGCGTTTGATGCAGCTCATTTCACGCAGGAGGGACATCTCAAAGCTCTTCAAAGGGTTCACTCTAAAGTGTATATACAAGTATTTTTGTAGGTAGAAGGCAATTTGCCCTCCACAAGGTCACACGAAAGAAATAATAAACATGCCGCACTTTTGCCCACAAAATACAGTCAATTCACTTGAAGAGCTCTGAGACATCTCAATAACGTGATAAGGCACTATATCAAATGCAAGTATTATTATGAAGTGAATGGCCAATTTTATTTGGGGGCTGATTGGTCAGGACACCGAGAGAAACTCCCCTTTTTGAATAGTGCCATTGGATCTTTAATGTCCATCTGAACAGGCAGATGATACCTTGTTTTAATGTCTTATCCGAAGGACGGCCTCCAACAATGGAGCACTGTATCAGAGTTTCAGCCTGGACTGTGAGTTCAAGTCCTTGAAGCCACAATGTTCTGGCTCAGGGATACGTGTTCCTGACTAAACCTCTACCTCCCCCTCCTCTATCTCCCCACCTCCTCTACTTCCCCCCCCCCTTTGCTTGGCCGGCTCGGACCTTCTGCAGGTCCTCCAAACCCTCCACTCCACCCTCGGGTGCCGGTCTGACATTAAACTCTCACTTTCATGTGCTAATCTATGCATTTCCTGATTCCAGAAATGGATCTGTTTTGGGGTAATTTTAAGAGCTATTTATATGATTTTTCTGCAATATTATACTTGTACCTGGAGATTGACTTTTTAAGCATTTGCTATGAAAAAAGTAGTACATTTTCTCTTGTTTAACTTTAGAGGATGTTTTTGATTCAAATATAATCTTCCCTTACTGTTGTAAATATATTGGATTGCAGCTTTTGATTAGTTGTAAATACAAGAGTGTACATTTTGTTCAGTTATCAGTAAATGCCGGTGCCAGTTATCACCAAACTTTGCGGTGTTTAGTATGAAATTAAATATCAGAAGATTCACAGCGAACATTTGTGCAGTAAACCACAAGGGCCAGACGCTTGCTTTCTGACTACCATTTTATTTTTAATTACTCTGTTTTTGACTTGAAGTTGCAGTTCCTGCGCTCTCTTTCCCCTTCCTGTCTCCCCCTCCATCCACCCCTTTCCGAGAGAGTGTGTGTTTCTTTACAGTATCTCGCCTCGCAAGCGGGTTTGATTCCCGTGTGGTACAAGACCTTAGGCAAGTTTTTTTACTCGACACGTGTCTGTTTACCTATCAGTAAATAGAAACCCAGTTGTCGATTGGCAGATCGCTTTCCGGGGATAATAATCCCTCAATCAAATTGTGGTTGCTCAATCCACGAATGTTTGTGGGACACTGCTGTACCCAATTCACTGCCGCGTTTTACCCATAAAATATACAGTCAGTTCATTTTACAGTACATTCTGTGAAGTGCTTTGAGACGTCTCGACGACGTAATAAGGCGCTATATCAAATGCAAGGATTATCATTATTTTAGTTTGCTGCTCTGGATTTGGTGAAGAGCAACAAAAAACTTCCTCTTCCTGAGGAGAAGAAGATTCCAGCCGGAGATCTTGATACCGATAGCGAATAACATTTTGGGGGCTGAGGAGAGCGTCAATTTTGCTGCTTTTCACCAGATTTAGGACAGAAAACAAGTAATAAATTAAAAAAACATACCATGGGGGCTATAATTTCAAATTTTAAAAAGGTGCCAATTTAAAAGGACAAAATACAAAATGTCTGTCATAAAGCTGGGAGTCATTGCTCTGGGAGAGAGCTTGGCCATCTATGGCCACTCAGAGTACTGTCTAGTCGATGTTCTGTTTCACACTAATAGTAATAATAATAATAATACTTGCATTTGATATAGTGCTTTTCATGTCTCTAGACGTCTTAAAGTGCTTCACAGAATATCCTGTAAAATGAATTAACTGTATAATTATGGGCGAAACGTGGCAGCCAATTGAACACAGCAGTGTCCCACAAACAGTCGTGGATTGAATTGACCAATTTTATTATTTTTTTTCTTGAGGGATTATTATCAGGCGTGTGGAGTAAAGAAACTTGCCCAAGGTTTCGCCCTGCTGGGATGCGAACCCAGGTCACTCGCTTGTGAAGCGAGTGCTCTAACCACTGAGCTACAGGACTCCTCACTAGACACTGCAAGGTGCAGTGATAGTCACCACAGATTTTACCCCTCTGTCTGTCTTTGTATTTTGCAGATCCAAGGTTTGGGACTGAAGACATCCACCTTCGCTCAGTTCTCAGCTCTTCTGGAATTGGTTCAGGCAGCCAAAGCTCTCGCCCAGGCAGATCAACTCTGAGACAGGATGGAGAGAACTTTACATAGGCACCCGTCAGTACGAACAGTTCGCAGTTATTTCTTCAGAGCTGCCTTAGCCCGCTATCAAAATTAAATATTTTTCCATTTCCTTAATTTTCCACTCATTTGTTGTGAAGTGTCACATTGATAACACAACTTGTAAATGGCCCAATGTATAATATTGCTTTCTATCTAGCAAGTAATTATTGATTTGTGCTTTGTTCTGCAGTCCTATATCGACATCAGCCGAGTACAGTTTTATGTTCATATTCTTGCTTGTTTGGTGAGTGTTGCCCACATATCACATAGACAATGTAAAAGTTTTTTTTCTTTCACTTGAACTGATTTTTAAATTCGGAATACTTTTGAGTATAGGGATGGCCGTAACATTAGCTACTGTATATGATGCACCAGCAGATTTCCATTGAAGCAGCACAGTCCAGAATTATACAGTCTTTCAGTACAGCAGAAGGCCATTTGGCCCAGGGCAGGGGGATTTTACAGATAGCTATTACAGGAGTCTGCACAGTGGGCCAAATGTCCTTCTTCTGTACTTCATACTCTATTATTAATTTCCTTTTCAAATATTAATCTAATTCTCTTTTGTAGGCTTCTATGTCAACCATTGTTTTTGATAGTACATTTCATGCCCTGATAACCCTTGATGTTTAAACTTCTAACTTCTCCTTTTGTACTGTTCGTAATGATTTATACCTTCCACTTACTTGCATGTACCAAGCAGTGGAAATAGTTTCAAAGAAGCATAGAATTATACAGTTTTTTCCTATTGATCAAAATTCTTATTACTGAACAGCTCCACTGGGTCTCCTCTTAATTGTCTCTAATCTAATGAAAACAACTTCTGTTTCTCTTTGGTCTATCTTGTCATAAGTAAAATCTCTCAAACAGCTATCACCCTAGAGAACTCCCTCTGTGCTCTCTCAGTGGCCTTGACATCCTTATAATTGTACTAATAATAATCCTTGCAATTGACATAGCACTTTATCATGACTTTGAGACATCTCAAAACGCTTCACAGAATATACTGTAAAGTGAATTGACTGTATATTTTGTGGGCAAAACACTTTATGCTTTCAAATCTAATGTAAAATAAAAATGAGCATTTTTGTCGTGTGGAAACGAGGGTAACATTTGTGGTGTTCCTTATTTAATGCAAACCACCAGATGACAACACACCTTCCAGCTAACTTCTTCCCAGGTGCCAGTGCCTGACATAATATCAGAAGCGGACATTTTTTTTGCTTTGTAAATTTTAGACTCTACATCAGGCTTTGTTTGCTTTGTTAAGTATTTCTTTCCCAGGTGTGATCTGCTGAGGACGGCTGAAAAACACATTTTTCCCCTCAGCCAGAATTTTTATTTTATTATTATCTGACGGGCTGGGCCTAAGGTCGCTGCCTGACATCAACTCTAAAAGTTATTTGACTGAGAAGAGCTTTCTGCCCGGTGTGTCTGTGCCATGAAACAATCACAGTAAGACCTATTTACAGATGACACTGCAGTGTTTTGAAGCTGCAAAGGCAGAATTGAATTGTTCAGACAGTTTATTTTGTAAAAGCCCTGTTGAGCAGCAGCAACAACAACAAAGTACAACAAAATTACATTGTTATAGCGCCTTTCATGTCGGAATTACGTCCCAAGGCACTTAAACTGCAAAGTTAGAGGGATAGAGGTTCAATATAATTGATCAATATGCATAACCAGGTTTCTGATAACTTGGGGAACTAAATTCTGCACCCTCCAATGTCACTGTTTGGATTGGAGTTGACATGAGGTGAATGCTCTAGAATACAGACGCCACTTATCTACAAATAACTTGCCCGACTTCAGATTGAACTCAAAACCGACCCACAGGTATTTATTATTTCACCTGAACATACACAACATATTTCACAACAGGTCATAATTTCAGCCAAGTTTGACATGGAAAAAATGTAAAATACGATAAAATAGAATTATTCAACAAAGCGGGTAGAGCAAATGTCAAATTCGGGTATCTGTCAGAAACGGATGGAATTGTGTCTGTTCAAGAGAAAGGCCCTTCCCAGAAGAGGTTGCAACATCTGAAATAATAGGCACCAGCTGGAAAATGGCTTGTTACTCAATATTGTCCTTTCAATCTGTCAAAGTGGCAGAAAGTTTAGATTTCATCCATTGCAGTCTCATTGGCTCTGCAAATAGTTTCTCTGCAAATTATTGGCAATATCAGGAAATTAAGATAGTTTACACTTACAGAATCCACAACATTTCTGTGTAAAAAAAATCTAAGTTAACAGGGGACTTTGATAAGGTAAATACAAATGCAGTTTCTAGTAGTTGGTAACTAACATGAATCTCACTAGTTCAGTGAGATTGAGAAAGAGCAAGAGATCAGAGCCAGAAGAGAGAAGACATTGGTGGGAGCTGAGGGTATGACTTCCGTCTTATCACTGTTGGGTTGGAGGAGATTTCCGTTCATCCAGGCCTTGACTGGCAAGTGAACAGACCATCAGTGCACCTGGAATCAAGAATAGAAGAGGAAACAGTACAGGTGTCCACAAAGTCCTGTTACCCCCATGTTATTTTTGTGCAGCGCACTGACCAACAACAACAACAAAATTACATTTGTATAGTGACTTTCATGTCGGGAGTACGTCCCAACAACTGAAACAAGGTAGCATAATTATAATTATATTTAGTACAATTATGTAACTTTACATGTCCAGAGGATCTGTGTGAGTGAGTGAGCGCCATCATTTTCATGGCAGATAATGATCCGTTGCCACATCTTCTAACATGGATGGAGTGAGGAGGCAAAATACATCACTGACAGGTTCTTTCAGCTCCTCCATAATTTCATATCATTGGTTTGGAGTAAGGGGTAAGAGGACTTTGCAGGTACCCTGTAGACAAAGCTGAGACCGCCTTTAAATCCTTGAGAGGAATTTACAATAATTTTAAATTTGATACAGCACTTTTCACGAATTTCAAGCACCTTTCATGAATTTGCACCCATCACCATGCTTAAGAGTCTCCAAATGAAACTGACAAATGAAACTGACAATTCCATGCATCCTACCTTCACGTGGATATTCCAGAGATAGATTTTTGGAATGGAATGTGTACTTTCCCTGGAGGAACTCATCCTGTTTACCTAATTCTGGACAGTATTTGGCGCAGGTTGTCAGGAGCCAAGACGTGGGAATCCCAAAGTGTGCATTGGGGTAACTGCTGGTGTCTAACCAGCTAAAACCGCATAGTTTGCCATTGATATTGCTGTCGGGCAAGCTTTCCTGATGTTTGTCCAGCTTAGACCAACCTACCCGTTAGTGCTTTGGCTTGCAGGGTTAACAGGAGTTGAGTGGGATGACTCCGTGCCCCCAGTGACTGGTCTGCCCTTCCAGGTCCTGCTGATGAGCCGGGCTGGGCTGGGCTGTCATCAGCAGTGCCCTGGAATACTGCGGACCCTCCTGGCTCAGGAACCGGACTAGAGACGGTCACAGAGGGCTTAATTCCCACATTCCGTTGCCAAACTTGTCACCTTGGGGCCAGTTCAGCTCCAAGGAGACCCCACTTAGGGAAGCTACAAAGGGATGTAGACAGATTAACTGAGTGGACAGAACTATGGCAGATGGAGTTCAATGTGGTGAAGTGTGACCAAAGAATGACAGATCAGATCAGAGTGTTTTCTGAATAGTGCTCGACTGGGAGCTGTGGAGGAGCAAAGGGATTTAGATGTCCAAGTACTCAAATCACTAAAAGCTAGTGCACAGGTACAGAAATCAAACAAAAAGGTGTTTTTTTATGCATTTATCCTATGTTAAAACATGTTTTGCAGTGTTTGTGAAGAATTGAGAGCACCAACCAGCATGTAAGCGGTTAATAGCTTGATGACTGCACCGGAAAAATCTCAACCAAAAAGCCGAAGTCTTGGTGAAACTGCTGTTATAATAAGTTTAGTTTGTTTTAAAATGCTTTTTATTTAAGGAATGATACTTGAGGTGCCAACATGTCGGACTCAGCCTCAATTGCAACAATTTGGTTGGATAAAAAAGTTATTTTAACCTGGGGGTCACTGATGATACATTGCTTTCCCAGTGGATTGAAAAACACACCTATATCACTGGGCAAATGGTGAGTGGATCTCACTGGACCATACAAAAAGCCAGCGTATTATCACAGAATCATAGAATTATACAGCACAGAAGGAGGCCATTCGGCCCATCATGTCTGTGCCTGCTCTTTGAAAAGAGCTGTCCAATTCAATCCCACTCCCCCAGTTGCTCCCCATAGCCCTGCAAACTTGTCCTTCCTAAATAGTTATCTACCTCTCTCTTAAAAGTTATTATCGAATCAGCTTCTACCCCCCTTTCAGCTAATGCATTCCTGATCCCAACAACTCCCTGTGTGAAAAAAAATTCTCCTCACCTCCCCTCTGTTTCTTTAACAACTATTTTGAGCCAGTGCCCTCGGGTTACTGACCCACCCGCCAGTGGAAATAGTTTCTCCTTGTTCACACAGTCTCCAGCTGAAGCCCAACTAGTGTTTTATAAAGGTTCATTATAACTTCCTGACTTTTGTATTCTATGCCCCTATTTATAAAGCCTAGTATCCCGTAAGCTTTTTTAACAGCTTTATCTACCTGTCCTGCCACAGAATTACAAAGAATTACTTATATGAACGCCCAGGTCTCTCTGTTCCTTCACCCAGTAACAATCACAGTAATAATCACACTGACAATCACAGTAGCAATCACACTGACAATCATACAGGGCTGTCACTCTCCTAGTTCCAGTTCGACTCGACCCACCATCATTTCATCATTTACACAGCGCCCTTCACATGGAGCAGTGTCTTGGAATGCTTTACAGTGATGTAGCTTGATGCCAAGCCAGAGAGAGGGGAAGTAACCGAAGGCACGGTTGAAGAGAACCTGAAAACGGGCAAAGATGAGGTGAGATTGAGGGACTGTGGCAGGGAGTTCCAGAGTTTGGGGACGTAGGGGTTGAAAGGACAGCCACCAATTGTGGAGTGGAGGGGACGAGAGACATGCAGTAGGCCTAAGCAAAGGCAGCTTGTAGGTAGAGGAGTGGGGTGTGAGCAGAAAAATGTTATTATAACCTCACTCTAGTAACTAGGACCTAATCATTCCCCGATTTATGTTCACTTTTCCTTAACGTGTGTGGGGGTGTAGGTGTGTGTGTGTGGGGGTGGTTGTGTGCTACAGTGGGAGGCTCAATAAATAGCCAAAGGTAGACAAAGCTAGGAAAGTGTTTCATACAATTTAACACTCGCTCCCATCTAGAACTTTCTGCCTTCCAAAATAGCCACTGACTCGGTTAACAAAGCATCTCAGTTGGACACACTGAACACACTGGACTTTGCTGACTAGCCTCTGACCTCAGTATCAGCGTGAATGTTAAACATCAACCAAGTCCGAGAGGCAGAGCGCACAGCACAGCTATTGAGTGCTACGGCGGTCAAGGCGAGACATGGCCACCAAACCAGTGTGCCTGAGCGACTATGAGCAGTACGCACAGCAGGTTCTCCCCAAAGCTGTGTTCGATTACTATTGTTCGGGGGCAGATGATCAGCAGACGCTAGCTGACAATGTGGCTGCCTTCTCCAGGTAACCCTTCCTGCCGCGCACTTTCATTTCTCCTGGTGTGCGCGAGAGAGAGAGAGAGAAAGAGAGAGATATGCCACAAAGCGCTTGAATCTACGGTGAAGTGCAGTGACTGTATATTTTGTGGGCAAAACCCGGCAGCCAGTTGCGCATAGCAGTGTCTCACAAACAGCCATGGAGTGAGGGACTGATTGTATTTGGGGATTGTCGGCCAGGACACCTGGAGAGAGAAACTCTCTTCTCTTTTCAAATAGTGCCGCGGGATCTTTAACGTCCACTTGAATAGGCACAGACCAGGCCTTGGTTTAACATCCCATCCATCTAAAGAGGGGACATTTACAGGATATAGTTGGGTGTGGAGGGAGAGGCAGGTGAATGGTACTGAATTGATTACTCTTTAAAGAGCGGCACAGAAATGATAATCGTGATGTCAGTACCACAATACGATTCTGATAAAGTGCCAGAGCTTTGTTCTGAGTGCAAACTCACAACAATAATAATAACTTAATTCAATATAGTGCCTTATCACATCATTGAGATGTCTCAAAATGCTTCATAGAATATATGGTAAAGTGAATTGGCTGTATATTTTGGGGGCAAAACCCGGCAGCCAATTATACACAGTAGTGTCCCATAAACAGTGGTGGATTGAGTGACCATATTATTATTATTTTTATTATTATTATTTTTGTTGAAGGGATTATTACCCCCAGAAAAGCAATTCACCAATTGACTAACAACCGGGTTCCTACTTACTGCTAGGTAAACAGAGGCGTGTAGAGTAAGGGAACTTGCCAACGGTTCACCTTGCCCGTTATCAAACCCAGGTCCTCTCACTTGCGAGGTGAGTGCTTGCAAAAAATTTGGAAGAGTAAATTGTGGCAATCATCTGTTTTTGAAGATTTAATGAACATTGAACAAAGCAATGTGAAAACATCAGATGATTTCACTGCTTTCGAGTCACATCTGGGAGTCCCTGTTTCCCACTCACATTTTCATTCTGTTCCGCTGTTAAACAGCGGATACCGCTGAATCTTACAAAATAAAACAAAAGTGGTAATAATAATAATGCTTGCATTTGATACAGTGCTTTATCACGTCTTCGAGATGTCTCAAAGCGCTACAGAATATACTATAAAGTGTAGTGACTGTATATTTTGTGAGCGAAATGCGGCAGTCATTTGAGTACAGCAGTGTCCCACAAAGAGTCATGGATTGAGTGACCAATTTATTTATTTATTTTTTTGAAGGAGGTATTACCCCAGGAAAAGCAATCTACCAATCGACTAACAACCAGATTCCTACTTACTGCTAGGTAAACAGGCGATTGGAATAAGGAAACATGACTTACGGGAATCCAATCTAACTGCCAGGAATCAAATCAAACCCAGTCTCACACTTATGAGGCGAGTCCTCCAACTACTGAGCTACAGGATGTGATCAAACACTGTGTACCTTCACCTAAGGTACAAACATGATGGGCCGAATGGCCTCCTTCTGTGCTGTATAATTCTATGATAATGTAGGCATCAACCTAGCTCAACCACTCGTTCTCATGCTCACCTCTGGGTCAGGAGGTTGTGGGTTCAAGCCCCACGTCAGAATTTCTGTTTATCCCTCATCAGCCTCTCTCTCCTGTTATCAGTAACAAGCACAGTCAAGAAATCAGATTTAAAAACAAAATTATTTGTTTCTCTCACATGGTATCCTGTAGCTTAATGGTTAGACCACTTGTCTTGCAAGCGAGAGGAACTGGATTTGATTCCTGGGCAGGGTGAAATCTTAGGTAAGTTTCCTTACTCCAACATGCCTATGTTTGGAACCCACAACATTCTGACTCGGAGGCGAAAGTGTTATCACTGAGCCAGGCTGACACACACGCGGTACAGCTGTGTCAAACGGAAGGATTATTATTGTTATGGCGTCTCCCGTGCCTGACGGATGTATCTAATTAATTGTCCTCTTTACCAGGTTGTGCCTCCGCCCACGTGTCCTCAGGGATGTGTCCAACATAGATTTGTCGGTGACCGTCCTGGGCCAGAATATCAGCATGCCGATCTGTGTGTCTGCCACTGCCATGCAGAGGATGGCACATCCTGAAGGAGAAGTTGCAACCGTCAAAGGTGATTTGTCCCTTCATGCCCTGGTACTTTCCTACCTCTCCGGCCCGCTTACCCCCTAACCTACCTGTGCTTGACTGGCTCCGGCCTCCTGCTTGTCCCTCATGCCCGCCGTTCCACCATCGGTAGCCGTGCTTTCAGCACCTACTCCCCCAAACTCTGGAACACTCTTACTCTATCGCTCCACCGTGCCCCTTCCTTCCCAATTCGACCGTGCCTACCGTCACCTCTCCACTCCCCCCGGCTGGGTGTCGTACTCTGCCACTGTTAAGTGCTCTGGGATGCTACCCTGTGCGAAAGGGCACTATATAAATGCAAGTTATTGTTGTCGTCATTGTCTTCAGATCTACTTTCTATGATCTATGCTTAAGTTGTGACAGCACTGTCTTTCTTTCGTGACCATTTGTGTGTCAGCATGGCGCAGTGGTAGTTCTCTCGCTTCAGAGTCAGAAGGTTGTGGGTTCGAGCCCCACGTCAGGACTTGGAATCCCACAGTCTAAGCTGACCCTCCAATGCAGTGGTGGGGCATGTTGCGTTGCGTGTTACGTTGTCCCTGGGATGGGATATTAAACCGGTGTCCTGTCCAGCGCCTTGGGATGTCCTCCCGACGTGAAAGGCGTTATACAAACATAATTTGTTGCTGTTGTCTGCCTTTTCAGGTAGACGTTAAAGACCCCATAGCAGTATTCATAAAGAGAAGGAAGTTTCTCTCTACCCTTGTCCTGGCTAAACAATCTCCCAAATAAAATTGGTCACTCACTCCGTGGTTGTTTGTGGGGCACTGCTGTGTGCAATTGGGCTACCGCATTTGCCGACAAATAAACAGTCACTCCATTTCATAGTAGATTCCTGTGAAGCGCTTTGAGATATCCTACCGATGTGACAAGGCGCTATATCAATTGCAAGGATTATTATTATTATTTGCAGTGCATCATAATACAATTTACATTTATTTTGTGGGAGGATGTCTCAAAGTGGTTCACGCTGGAGACAGAACACACAAGCTGGGAGCTGGGGGGTGGTGGGGGGGAGATGACCAAAAGAGCAATCAGTAGGTCAATAAGGTACATTTTGAGATGGGGCTTGAAAGAGTAGGAAAGCTTGCCAGACAGTGCTCTCAATGAAAATGTAATTCCAGGTGGCAGACCTGGAATTCTCAGTCTGGTTTGGAGATTCTTAACACAGGGGTAGGGAATCATCCCACTTAGCTCCTAGCACAGCTCAGCCTGGCTCATTGGCAGGACCTGGACAGGCAGAGCAGTCACCTGGGATAGGGAGTCATCCACTCAGCTCCTGTTAACTCTGCAAGCCAAGTCCTAACGGGTAGGGTGGTCCTAGTTGTACAAACAGCGAGCAAGCTTGCCAGATAGCGATGTCGATGGCAAACTATCATTGGTTTTAGCTGGTTAGACTCCAGCAGTTACCCCAACGCACACTCTGGGGTCCCCAAGCCTTGGCTATTGCCAACCTGTGCCTGATCCCCTCTGGAAAGGGTAGAGTGCTTAGGAAAGCAGGATGTGTCCCTCTTGGGAGAGAGTTCACATTCCATTCCAACAATCTATCTCTGGGATTTCAATGTGTAGGTGGGATGCATAGAATTGTCAGTTTGATTTGGAGACTCTTAAGCACGGTGATGGGTTTCCGCACGTGTCAGACACCCGGCTGACCAAACAAACTCTTCACCATCAGGTGGCAGTGCAACACTACTCAGAAATAATTAACTGGAAATGATTGAAACACTGCGCTTTACAATCTGCTGACTGAGAGTTCACACATGCATTGCCAACTCCCTGTATCTGGATTGGAGTGCGCACTCTTTCACCAGAATGATGTGCCTTGCATACCTAAGAACGATTGAGGGGCAGAGTCCCACATAAGGATCCCTCTAGGGTTTTATGCTATACAAATGAAATCTTCTTGTTGTTATTCTGCCCCAACAACCTTGTGTCCCCTCTCTGGAACTCCCTTCCAGACTAAGTATGAACACGGTTGTTGGTCGATTTCTATGAGTAATATTGCCTTAAAAAAATAATAATTTAGTCACTTAATCCACGACACTGCTCTGTGCAATTGGCTGCCGTGTTTCGTCCACAAAACATACAGTCAATTCAACAGCGTGCTACCACTGAGCCACTGTTAATAATAATCCTTGCATTCGATATAGCGCCGTATCACGTTGTCGAGACGTCTCAAAGAATTTCACAGAATATACTGTAAAGTGTATATTTTGTGGACAAAATGAGGCAGCCAATTATGGACAGCTGCGTCTCAGTCGTGGATTGAGTGACCACATTATTATTATTTTTATTATTATTATTTTATTTGAAGAGATTATTACCCCTGGAAAAGCGATTTGCCAATCGACTAACAACCAGGTTCCTAGTTACTGCTAGGTAAATAGAGACGTGTGGAGTAAGGAATCTTCACCCTGTTTCACCCTGCCTGGGAATCAAACCCGGGTCCTCACGCTTGGAGGCGGCGAGTGCTCTAACCACTCAGCTACAGGGCAACATACAATTGTATGTTGAATAGAAAGATTATTATTATAATTATTATTGTTATTATTAGCATAAAGCTCAGGAGCAGTTGCATCAGACAGTTTCAGTCTTGCAGAGTGCAGCAAGTAGTGATGACTCGGAGCTAGGAAAGGAATTTAGGTTGCGTTTCTCACCTATCCATGTTTGAGCCAGTCAGGTCACTTGTTGAGCAGGCTGTCTGGAAACTTGTAAACTGTAAACCAGACACCCGATGTCTGTATTTAAACTGAAACATCCACTGGAATCTTTGTGTCGTGTTTGATGATGGCAATATAGCCTGTGTGAGACGGGACAGGGGCCAATATTTAACCTCTCGACTCTAATTTGTGGTACGATCAGAAAATAAACATTGCTTTGATTCATTGAAGTAACGCAAACCTGCTTGCTTCTGTGTCTCCCCGTGACGTGTTGTTGGTGGAGTAACTCAATGGGTAGAGTCCTCGCCTCGCAAACGAGAGGACCTGGGTTCGATTCCCAAGCAGTGTGAAATGTTAGGCAAGTTTCCTTATTCCACACGACTCTGTTTACCTAGCAGTAAGTAGGAACACGGTTGTTGGTCGATTGGTGGATTGGTTTACCGGGGGTAGTAATACAATTTAAAAAAATAAATAATTTGGTCACTCAATCTATGACTGTTTGTGGGACGCTGCTCTGCGTATTTGGCTGCCATGTTTTGCCCACAAAATATGCAGTCAATTCACTTTACAGTATATTCTGTGAAGCGTTTTGAGATGTCTCGAAGACGTGATAAGGCACTAAATCATATGGAAGGATTGTATTATTATGCTATTGTTGTTGAGTGTAAGAAACTATTATAATAATAATAATCATCATCCTAAAATACAGGACTTCACTCTGTTGCTGTTGTTTAGAATGAGAAAAAAATACAGTGATGTTGTTGTTGATGTTGTTGTTGGGCAACCTGACCAATAGCACAATGAGTGCTCTGCCCATTCTCCCCGCTCTGCACTGCCTCTCGCCCCCGCAGTCTCCATGTCTGTGGGCTGACTGTGGCCCACTTACCGCCTGCCTCAAGAATTGGCTGCTGCCCCCGAGCTGAGCTGTCCTTCCCCCAAAATGCCCCCATCCCTGCAACACTCCTGCTCTGTCCTCCTCTCTTTCCGTCCTCCTCGCCTCCTATCCCCACTTGACCGTCCCACAACCTCCCTCTGCTCCAGCTTGGATTCCTCCATCAGGCTCACTGTGGCATTCGGCTTTGGCTGTCCAACAGCAGCCACACTGACTGCCCCATTCTCCACTATCACACCAGACCAAAACTCCAGGGGCCAACCTCTCATCCCTCATTCCCATCCTCCCTGCCAATCCCTCCATCAGCCCCTCCCATCTCACACATTCCCCTGGCAACTGTCCCCTCTGGACCGGCCGATAAAATGTCTGCTCCCTCTGCAACAAGGCTCTGACCATCATTGACCTCATTGCTGATGAAAATATTGACATTATGGCCCTCACTGAAACTTGGATCACCCAGAGGCCACACCACCCAGCTATACCTCCCACCATACCTTATGTCCCAATTGCCTTGGCAATGATGTGGCTCTCATCTCCAGGACCTCACTTGCTCTATCCCCTTACTCCTCTGGATAGTTCTCCTCATTCAAGCACCTTTCAATCTATCATCCCTCCAATCTTTCCCTCAAAATTCTCCTCAGTTACCTCCCCTCCAAAAACCTCCCCAACTTTCATCTCTGACGTCTCCACCCTCCTAGCTTCCCTCTGCCTATGTTCTGAACACCTTCTCATCCTCAGCGATTTCGACCTTCACTTCACCCCCTCCTGCTCTATCTCCTCGGACTTCTCCTCTCTCCTCTCCTCTCACAACCTCTCCCTCCACCCATGTTCATGGCCACCCACTGGACCTGGTGATTACCTGGGGCCTCAGTGTCTCGGATTCACAATCACAGATAAAGCCATCACCATTTCATCTTCTTTAACTCCTCAATCCCTTTCCCAACTGCCACCAAACCCACCTCCATCTCCTACCGCCCCTGGAAAAAAAATTCCCCGCAATCCCTCTCCGCTTCCCTGGAGTCATCTGAACACCTTCCCCTCTGGCCTACCTCCCACACTGATATATTCTCCTCGCTCGCTCTCCTCCACAACTCCCTCTCCACCACTCTTGATGCCCTTGCTCCCCTCATCTCCCGAACTGCCTCCAACTCACAAACCTTGCCCTGGTACACCAGTCAGCTCCACTCCCTCAAGGGGCAGGTGCGTGCCGCCTGCTGAACACACCTGGCTCAAATCTGATCTAACTGTCCACTGGCAGATCTGGCTGGACCACATCAAAATGTACCATTCCGTCCTCGACTCCACCAAACCATCGATCTACTCCAAGATAATCTTGGATGCGAAGGAAAAACCCAGCCTCCTATTCTTCACCACCAACCGACTCCTCCATCCACTTCCCCACCCCACCCCCATTCTCTCCTCAAACTCTGACTGTGAGGAGATGCTGGATTTCCTGAAATCCAAAATTGAGGGGATCCGTTCAGCTGGCCCCACCCTCCCAACTGCCACTCCCTCCCCTTCTCCCCGCCCCACTCTGACCTTGCCTCTACTCTCTGATACCATCAATCTCTCCTTATCATCTGGCACCATTCCCATCCCCTAAAAACAGCTATTATCACCCCCATCCTCAAAAAACCTTCCCTGGACCCATCTCTGCTTTCAAACTGCCAGTCCATCTCCAACCTCCTTTTTCTTTCCAAGGTCCTTGAAAGAGTTGTTGGTTCCCAGCTTCGCTCCTTCCTCTCATACTACTCCCCTCACGAACCCATCCAATCGGGTTTCTGTGCTGCTCACAGGGTGGAGACTATTCTGGACAAGGTCACAAACAACATCCTGTCCATCTGTAACCAGGGCTCCCTGTGCCTCTTCGTCCTCCTCCACCTCTGCTGTCTTCGATACCTTGGACCATTTCATCCTCCTCCACCGTCTCTCCTCTCACCTCAACCTTCGAGGTTCTATTCTTGAATGGTTTAGGTCTTATCTCTTACACCATCTTCAATTTGTCTCCGCCAACGGTCTCTTCCAGTCCCCATATCCTTGCCATGAACAGCTCTGCCTTACCCCACCTTCGAAACATTGTCCATCTTCGCCATTGCCTCACCCCTCAGGCTGCCGTAACCCTCATACATGCATTCGTCACCAAGGCTCGACTACGGAAACTCCTTCCTTGTCGGCCTCCCCAGCTCTTCCCTCATCCAGAATTCTGCAGCTCATGTACTCTCCAGCACCAGACTCCATAACCCCATCACCCCTACCCTCGCCCGGCTCCACTGGCTCCCCATCCCTCAGAGGATAGAATTCAAAATCCTTGTCCTGACTTTCAAGGCCCTTGATGGCCTTGCTCCCTCCTGCACCTGACCTGCCAACCCCTATCAACTTGTCTGCTCCCTCCAGTCAGCAGGCTCCTGCCTGCTCCATTTCTCCTGCCTGACCCACCATTAGTTGCCAGGCTTTCAGCCTCACCTCCCGCACCCTTTGAACTCCATCCCTTTGCCTTGCTCCTTCCCTTGCTACCTTCAAGGCATGATCAAGACCCTCCTTTTCGACTGTACCTTCAGCTGTCCTTTTACCTCTCTGTCCTCCCTCATCCCAATCCTGCCCCCACACGCTTGGGATCAATGTTTTGGGACATCTTCCCGACATGAAAAGCGCTTTACATGTGCAATTTTGTTGTTATTGTTGAGTGTGAGGAGCTATTGCTGTGTTGTTCAACTGTCCATCAGCGGATCTGGCTGGACCTTATCAAATCTTATCCCTCTCTCATCACCCCTATAACCTGCATGAAACCGATCACCCGCTCCCTCAACTCCATTCATACCCCTCTCCTTACCTCCCAGCTCCTCGTCCTTGCCCCTCTAGTCACAGACATCATAAACCTTTCCCTCTCCATTGACACCATTCCTACATCTTTAAAAACGGCCGTCATCACTCCTATCTTCAAAAAAACCCTCACTGGACCCATCCCTACTCTTAAACTACTGCCTCATCTCCAACCTCCTTTCCTTTCCAAGGTCCTGGAATGAATCGTTGCTTCGCTCCTTCCTCTCCATTCCCTTCACAAACACTCACAGCACAGAAACAGCTTTGGTTAAAAAGTGACAAATTGTATTTTGTACATCTGCGATCAGGGCTCTCTCTGCTGCCTTGATCTCTCTGCTATCTTTGATACCGTTGACGACTCTATTCTCCTCTACCACCTTTCCTCTCCTCTCACCTCAACCTTCATGGTTCTGATTGTGAATGGTTCAGATCCTACTTCTCACACCATCTCCACTTCATCTCCACAAACGGTTCTACTCTAGCCCCCGCACCGTTTCATGTGGTGTTCCTCAGGTCTCTGTCCTTGGTCCCCCTCCTCTTCACTGTCTACATGCTCCCTCTTGGTGGCATCATCCACAAGAGTCAACTTCCACATGTATGCAGATGACACCCAACTGAATCTCTCTGCTTCCACCCTTGTCTCCAGGACCACTGCTATCCTGGCAGAATGTCTATCAGACATCAAGTCCAGGATGAGAGCTAACTTTCTTCAGTTGAACGTAACAAGACCGAGGCTCTCCTTATTGGCTCCCATCAGCGCCTCCATATCTCAGGTGCTGACAGTATCACCACCCAAGGATGCACATTCCACCTTATTAAACCAGTCTGGAACCTTGGCATCTTGTTTGATTCTCAATTATCCTTTCTGCCCTACATCAGTACCATGACCTGCTCTGCTTTCCTCCACCTCCGTAACATCACTCGGCTCCGCCACTGTCTTACCTCTCAGGCCGCCGAAACCCTCATACATGCATTCATAACATCCAGGCTTGATTATGCAAACTCTCTGCTTGTCAGCCTCCCCAACTCCTCCTTCATCATCCAGAACTCTGCAGCCCATGTCCTCTCCCGTCCCAGTCTCCTTAACCCAATCACCCCCATCCGCACCTGACTCCACTGGCTTCCCATCACAAAGAGGATATAGCTCAAGATCCTGGTCCTCACCTTCAAGGCACTCATGGCCTTGACTCCCCCCTACCTCTGCAAGCTCCTAAACCCCTACCATCCTGCCCATTCCTTCCACTCAGCATGCTCCAGCCTGTTTATGTCCCCTACTTTGCCTTTCCCACAGGCTTTCAGCCACTCTGACACCACCCTCTGGAACTCCATCCCGCAGTCCCTCTACTTGGCTCTCCATTGCCTCCTTCAAGACTCATCTCAAGATCCTCTTCTTCGACCATGCCTTTGGTCACCCTCCTACCACCGACCCTCCCCGCTCTCAACCCCTCCTGATCCCAACCACCAACTCGGGTTTGGATCCCTGACTGTCGACATGAAAGGCACTATGGAGATGTAATTTTTTATTGCTGTTTTTGTAGTTGTTGTTTCGTGTGAAGAGCTATTGCTGTGTTGTTGCTGCTGTTGTTGATTGAGGAGCTAACCCTATGTTTGGCCTGTGTTGTAGCCTGCAGTGCTCAGGGCACGGGAATGATGCTGAGCACATGGGCCACATCCACTATCGAGGAGGTAGCGGAGGCTTCGCCAGGTGCCACCCGCTGGTTACAGCTGTACATCTACAGGGATCGGGACGTGACCGAGTCCCTGGTGCGCCGCGCGGAGGAGGCCGGCTATCAGGGCATCTTTCTGACCGTGGACACTCCTTACCTGGGCAAACGTCTTGCTGATATGCGCAACAAATTCAAACTACCATCTCACCTCAGGTAATAATAATAGCGCCTTATCACATGATTGAGATGTCTCAAAGCGCTTCACAGAACATGAAGTGGATTGACTGTGTATTTTGTGGGCAAAACTCGGCAGCCGATTGCACACAGCAGTGTCCCATGAATAGTCGTGGATTCAGTGACCACATTCTTATTATTTTTTATTTGAAGGGATTATTAACCCCAGAAAAACAATCCACCAATCAACTAACAACCAGGTTCCTACTTACTGTTAGGTAAACAGAGGTGTGTGGAGTAAGGAAACTTGCCCAACGTTTCCCTCTGCCTGGGAATCGAACCCAGGTCCTCTCGCTTGCGAGGCGAGTGCTCTAACCACTGAGCTACAGGACTCCATGGCAAACCACTATTATTACGAATGATTAAACTGTTCGCTCTATTCTCTTGGTGTGAATTGTGGGCCTTCAGGATGGCAAACTTTGAGACACCTGAGTTGGCGTTTGCCAAAAGCGACTATGGATCGGCCAGTGGCTTGGCCGGCTACACAGCGGATGCTATTGACCCCTCAATAAAATGGGAAGACATCGACTGGCTGAGAGATCTCACCAAACTGCCCATCGTTCTCAAAGGTATCTTGAGAGGTGAGCCTTACAAATGTTGTTCTTGTTGTTTTGTTGTCATTTCCATATTCATGAACATCATAGCTGAAATTCAGAAAGCTTAGTCTTTGGAAGTGTGACATAGAGGAAGTTTTCTGAGATGCTACACTGTGTGGGATGGGTGGGGGGGGGCGCGGTATATAGGTGCAAGTTGTTATTCTTATTGGGATTGTAGTATGCTTGGAAGGACCAGGCAACAACAACAACTTGCATTTGTATAACGCCCTCAACAACAGGCAGCGTCCCAGAGCGCTTGACAATGGTGGAGCCCGATGCGGAGTCAGGGAGAGGGGAAAGGTGACCATAGGCATGGCCGAAGAGACGCAACTTGAAAATGGGTAAAGAGTGGGAAAGGCGAAGGGATTTGAGGGAAGGAAATATGGATCCCATGTGCTTCCCACTCGGTTGTAGACTAATCCATGCAGAATTAATTGTTATCGACATCTCCATTATTATAACAATGCAGTAGAAGACAGATGAGATGAACCTTGGTCTTTTTTTGTCCAGCAATTCCTATGTTCCTAGGTTTCTGAGTGGAATATCTCAACCACACCTTTGTCCCCTCCACACGCGTCTTCTCCTTTGTCCTCCTCTCCAACCTCCCCAGCAACCAAGCTCCAACAAAGATCACAAGATGGGTTCAGGTAAAGAAAACCCTTCGGCCCATCTGATCTCCTCCCTCCAGAACACCCACCCTACCATCCCCCCATCAAAGCATCCAGCTGCTTTTTAAATGAGTCCCAGTGTCCTGGCCTCAACCCGCCCTTCCTGGCAACCTGTTCCAGTCATTAATTACCCTCTGGGTAAAGAAACACTTCCTGGTGTCTATCCTGAAATTGCCCCTTTACAGCTCTAACCCTGTGTCCTCTTGTTCTACTGTCCCGATGCACCCGAAAGTAATGATCTGGGTTTACTTTTTCAATCACATTTAAAATGTTACGATCTCTCTGAGGTCCCCTCTGAGTTGTCTTCTCTCAACACTGAAGAGTTGTCTAACCATCGCTCACAGCTCATTCCTGTAAACCTGGGGATCAGCCTGGTTGCTTTCCTCTACACTGTCTTTAGTGTCTGACAAGTTTCTTTGCTGCTTGTCTAGCTAGGACCATCCTACCTGGTAGGAGTTTGACTTACAGGGTTAGCAGGAGCTGAGTGGGATGACTTTCTGCCCCCAATGACTGGTCTGTCTTTCCAGGTCCTGCTGATGAGCCAGGGTGGGCTGTGCTGTCATAAGCAGTGCCCTGAAATACTGCGGTTATTGAACAAATTGGGTTCCGCTTACCATAAATCCCAAGCCTTGCCTTTTGCCAAACTGTGCCTAATACTTTCCGGAATTAGGTAAACCGGATGTGTCCCTCCAGGGAGAGAGTGCGCATTCCATTCAGGCAATCTACCTCTGAGATTGCCATGTGTGGGTGAGATGCATGGAATTTTCAGCTTGGTTTGGATACTCTTAAGCACAGTGATGGGTTTCCGCATGTGTCAGACACCCGGCTGAGCATAAATAAGAGCCAGCAGCTGGTGACTTTATTGAAAGCTCTTTTTCATGGAGGCAACCTACTGCCAGTTAAACAGAGACGTGTGGAGTAAAGAAACTTGCCTAACATTTCGCCCCGCCCGGGAATCGAATGCAGGTCCTCTTGCTTGCGAGATGAATGTGCTAACCACTGAGCTACAGGACTCCACGAACGAATAAGATAAAACGCAGAGTCTCTCACAGATTTATTTTTACAGAACAAGATATTGAAGATAAAATGAAGTATTAGATTGATGGTAAAAACATAGGTAGTGAAGGCAAGCTCATAATTCACTCTCTTTTTATTATTCCTTAGCAACTTCTGAAATCAATCCTGTTTGTCTGGCAAAGTGAAGTCATTAAGTTAAATGCCTGTTATTACCGCAATCATATTAACAACTTAAACTCGTACCAAAGTCATTCAACAGAAGGTGCTCTTAATTAAGATAAATTGCGGTGTGGCTGGGCAGAGCCAATACAAGGCACTATTATTTGACACAAGATACAAGAAAGTGAACTTATTAAAACAATGAGACAAACATGTGGCCAATATAGGAGTCAGCTACATGTGTGAGGGGAAAGGGCAGGTAAATGGAACAGAAAGGATTTTGTTCTTAAAGGAACAGCACAAACATGATGGACCGAATGGCCTTCTTCCTTGCTGTAAATTTCAATGGTTCTATGGTTCTGTTTCAGACTGGTACTCTTATCTCTGAGTCAGAAGGTTGTGAGTTCAAGTCCCATGTTTAGACTTGGAATCATATAGTCTAAAATGACACTCCAGTACAGTGCTGTGTGTTGTATTGTCGGGTGTGCCGTGGTTCGGATGAGACATTAAACTAAGGTCCCGTCTGTGCCTGTTCAGGTGAATGTTAAAGATCCTGCAGCGTTATTGGAAAAGAGATGGGAGTTTCTCTCTCCAGGTGTCCTGGCCGACAATTGCCCAAATAGAACTGATCACTCACTCTGTGGCTGTTTGTGGGCCAATGCTGTGCGTGTTTCACCCACAAAATATACAGTCATTACACTTTACAATATATTCTTTAAAGTGCTTTGAGATGTCTCAAAGATGTGATAAGGCTCGATATCTAATGCAAGTATTATTTCCATTAAGCAAACTGTGCAGTCTGTGTTTTATTGAATGTGCATCTCTGTGATTGCAGCTGACGATGCCAGAGCAGCTGTGAAGCACGGAGTTGATGGTATCCTTGTGTCAAACCATGGAGCGAGGCAACTGGACTGTGTGCCGGCAACTGTGAGTTTCCCCCCTCTGTGTCCCATGTGTGACAAAACTCTGTACCCCCATCACCCCAGTCCTTGCCAGGCTCCACTGGCTCCCAATTATTGATCAAATCATTTTCAAGATCCTCTCACTCGTTTTTAAATCCCTATCTCTCTGATATGCTTACTCCCAACTCCACCACCCACTGTCTCCTCTCAGCTAACTTCGGCTTTCCGTTTGTCCCTTGTCCCCTCCGCTCCACCATCAGTGACCATGCCTTCAGCCACTACACCCCAAAACTCTGGAACTTACACCCTTGATCCCTCCAAGTATTTCTTTAGCCAGAAGGTAATTAACACTATACCAATCTGCCCGCTCCCTACACTCAGCGGGCACTGACCTGTTCCATGTGCCCCACCCTGCCTGCCCCACCATTAGCAGTCTGGCCTTCAGTCTTTCTACTCCACACTCTGGAACTCCGTTCCAGAACCCCTCTGCCTCGCCCCCTCCCTTCCCTCCTTCAAGTCCCATCTCAAGATCTTCCTCTTCGACCATACCTTCAGCCACTCTTCCACACTCTTGCCCTCCACCCACGGAGCTCAGGTGCAAACCCTTGACTATCTAGCACTTTGGGACATCCTCCCAACGTGAAAGGCTCTGTATGAATACAATTTGTTGTTGTTGTGATTAACGACTGGAACAGGTTACCAGGAAGGGGAGATTGATGCCAGGACACTGGGACTCATTTAAAAAGCAGCTGGATGCTATGATGGGGCGATGATAGGGTGGGTGTTCTGGAGAGAGGAGATCAGATGGGCCAAAGGGTCTTCTTCACCTGAATCAATCTTGTTGAAGTCTGATGTGCTGCCTTTGCTCAGATCGATGCTCTGGTTGAAATCGCTGAGGCAGTGGGTGGATCGGCTGAGGTGTTCCTGGACGGAGGTGTGAGGAAAGGCACTGATGTTCTGAAGGCTCTCGCTCTGGGTGCAAAGGCTGTGTTTGTTGGAAGGCCAGTCCTGTGGGGGTTAGCCTACCAGGTAAAGAAATGATAATAATAATCCTTGCATTTGATATTGCGTCTTATCACGTCATGGAGATGTCTCAAAGAACTTCACAGGATATGCTGTAAAGTGGAATGACTGTGTATTTCTTGGGCGAAATGTGGCAATGTTTTTGTTTTGAGAGATTATTACCCCTGGGAAAGTGATCCGCCAATTGACTAACAAGCGAGTTCTTACTTACTGCTAGGCAAACAGAGGTGTGTGGAGTAAGGAAACTTCACTAACGTTTCGGCCCACCCGGGAACCGAAACCAGCTCCTTTCGGTTGTGAGGCGAGTGCTCTACTGACTAATCTACAGGATTCCACTAACAATAGTATTATATTAATAATAGTAATCTTTGCATTTGATCCAGCGCCTCGTCACGTCTTCGAGACCCCTCAAGGCACTTCACAAAATAAGTAAAGTGTAGTGACTGTGTATTTTGTGAGTGAACAAAAGGAGGTTTGAGTGAATTCCACTATTGGGTCTTTCTTTCTTACACTACAAATAGGGAGAAGAAGGGGTCAACGATGTCCTGCAGATGCTGAGAGAAGAGTTCAAGTTAGCATCAGCTCTTGCAGGTCAGTGTCTCCCAGTCTCTGCCCCTCTCTCTCCCTCAATCTCTGTCTCTCTCTCTCCCAACCTCTGTCTCTCTCTCTCTCTCCCAATCTCTGTCTCTCATGTCCCAGTCTCTCTCTCTCTCTCCCAGTCTCTGTCCCTCTCTCTCCCAGTCTCTGTCCCTCTCTCTCCCACTCTCTATCTCTTTCCCAGTCTCCAGTTGAATAAATCAATCAAGTAGAATGATGTCTGTTGTGTATGGGTATTTACTGGATGATGTGTCCGTGATTAATGTAGTTTATAACCCACTGTATAAATTGCTTCTTCGTTTAAACAAGCACGTCAGTGTGAAACACAGCGTTATTATTTTTAGGTCAGTTGGTGTCTGACACATGTGGAAACCCATCACCGTGCTTAAGAGTCTCCAAACCAAGCTGAGGTTTCCATGCATCCCACCTACACATGGAAATCCCAGAGATAGATTGTTGCAATGGAATGTGCATTCTCTCCCTGGAGGGATGTATCCTGCTTACCTAATTCCGGAGAGTATTAGGCGCATGATGGCAAGAGCCAAAGCTTGGGGACTGTTTAAGCTAAAACCGCTTAGCTTGCTATTTTTATTGCTGTCCGGCAAGCTTTTCCGCTGCTAGTCCAGCTAGTCCTATCCATTAGGGTTTTGGAAACCAAGGTTAACAGAAGCTGAGTGGGATGACTCCCTGGCCCTAGTCACGGGTCTGGCCAGACCCACCTGGCTCAGGAACTGGACTGGAGACCGTCACAGAGGGCTGGCTTGATTCCGACATTCTGTTGCCAAACATGTCACCTTGGAGCCAGTTCTGGTTAAATGTCTTGCATCAGGATCTTTAAAAAGTCAAGATCCAAAGAAATGTACAGTTTAGAAGGGTATTCGTCACATCATACTGTCTCTCCGATAGAAATCTCCAGGGCCAGTCGCCTCCTCCCACCCTCTACCCGCCCCCCCCCCACCAACACACACACAGCCCTTTCATACTTATCCTATTGTGGCAGGGAAACTTACTACTTAGCTATCTTTAACCCTCCAAGCCCAAACCCTAATGGGTAGGGTGGTCCTAGCTGGACAAGCAGAAGGAAACCTTGCTGCACAGCAATATCAATATCTGGTTAGACTCCAGCAGTTACCCCACATGCTCTGGGATCCCCAAGCCTTGGCTCTTGCCGACCTGCGTCTAATACTTTCCGGAATGAGGTAAACAGGATGTGTCCCTCCAGGGAGAGAGTGCGCATTCCATTCCAACAATCTCTCCCTTGGATTTCCATGTGTAGGTGGGAAGCAGGGAAACCTCAGCTTGGTTTGGAGACTCATAAGCACCGTGATGGGTTTCCACATGTGTCACACACCCGGCTGAGCAAAAGAAAGAACACATTGTACAGTTATCACTGATATCACTGAACAGTGATAAAATCAACTGATGTTAATTAATCATGCTATCCTCAAATAATAATAATCCATGCCTTCGATACAATATCTCATCACGTCAGGAAGATGTCTCAAAGTGTTTCACAGAATACATTGTAAACTGAATTGACTGTATATTTTGTGGGTGAAATGCGACAGCCAATTGCGCACAGCAGTGTCCCACAAATAATCATGGATTGAGTGACCTAATTATTTGTTTTTTTATTTTTTGTTTGGAAGGGTTTATTACCCCCAGAAAAGCGATCTGCTGATCGACTAACAGCCGGGTTCTTACTTACTGCTAAACTGGTAAACAGAGCAGCGTAGAGTGAGGAGCTTCCCCAACATTTGCCCTGCCCGGGAATCAAAACCAGGTCTCTTGCTTGCGAGGCGAGTGCTTTAACCACTAAGCTATAGGACTCTTTTACTCTGAAGTGTCGTGACTGCGTGTTTTGCAGGGTGAAAGTCAATTATGTCAATTGAATCTTTGCGTGGCAGGGTGTCGCAACGTGAGAGAGATTGACAGGTCGGTCGTGCGATCTCGTTCCTGGACAGCCTCCCGCTTCTGAGATCCTTTCCTCAACAGTGAAGAGACACAGAGAACAGTTACTACTTCAAGTGCCCTTCGCATTCACTCTCATATACAATAATAAATAATCATCCCCACATTTGATACAGCGCCTATCACATGGTTGAAACATTTCAAAGTTCTTCACGTGTTTTTGTTGTAAAGTGTTGTCTTGTTTGCTTGTCTTTCCCCCCACCCCACAACCACCCCCATATCCCTTTACAGGGTGTGCACAAAGTCCTGTTACCCCCATCCCCCCTCCCCCCCGCCCAGTTCACTGATTAGCAACTGAAACATGTGGAAGAATGATAAATGGATTTAGAAGTCCATTATTGTATTCAGTACAATTTATTAACTGTATTTAGATGCCCATCAGATGGGTGAGTGAGTGAGGAGCGAGCGAGTGAGTGAGTGAACACCATCATTTTCATAGCAGATAATGATCCGTTGCCATGTTTGGTGTCACATCTTCTGTAACATGGATGGAGTCAGTGAGGAGAGAGTTACTGGGATCAGACAATGTTACATTCCACTCATCTGCAACAGGAAATAAACATTCATTGTACAAAAGAAAAACTCGGTGGGAGGCTGGGTGGTGGCATCCTGTAGTTTAAACCTCTTTAGGTATATGTCTAGTTCCCTTTTGAAAACTAATATGAATCTGTCTCAACCACCGCTCCTGGCAGGACATATCCTAACTATTCTGTATGTGAATCCATTTCTTCTAACCTCCTCATTTGCTTGGTTACTAACTTCTTAAATAAGATGGCGATGTAGATAGAGAGGTGGTTAAAGGGTAGGAAACAGAGGGTGGGAGTACAGGGTTGTTATTTACAATGGAGAGATGTAAACAGTGGTGTCCCCCAGGAGTCAATACTAGGACCACTCCTTTTCAAGGCCGGTCTCAAGACCTTTCTCTTTGACCGTGCCTTCAGCTCCCCTCTCGACTGTCTACCCACTCCTCACTCCCTCCCCTCCCTCCCCTCACCCTGACCATTTCCCCCCTGTTCGGGTCCTGATCCAACTGTCCAGAGCCTTGGGACGTCCTCCTGACGTGAAAGGCGCTCTATAAATGAAATGTTGTTGTTCAGTATCCCCCCGATGTGAAAGGCACTATACAAATGTAATTTGTTGTTGTTGTTCTCCATTTATAAAACAAAGTTGCATTTACACAGCGCCTTTCACGTCTGGAGGATATTCCAAGGCAATGGAGAGTCAGGGATTTGGGGGTTGGAATCAGGAGGGATGGAGGGTAGGGAGGATAAGGTGTGATGAAAGAAGAAAGTCTTGAGACGGACATTGAAGGCGGCAAATTGAAGGAGGCTTCTGGGATGTAATTCCAGAAGGTGGGGGCAGAAAATCTGAAGGCCCAACAGTTGATGGTAAAGCGGGCAGGGCAGGGACATAGTTTAAGGTTTAAGAAGATCTCAGTGGTAGAGTGGGGCAAGAGGAGAAAAAGTTTATGTTAGATGGTAAAATATTAAAATAAGTGGAAGAGCAGGGGAACTTGGGGGTTAATGTACATAAATCTTTAAAGGTGGGATGGCAGGTGGACAAAGCTGTTAAAAAAGCAAATGGATATCCTAGGTTTTCTAAACAGAGGTATAGAATATAAAAGCAAAATGGTAATGGTTATACAAATTAATAGTTAGGCCTCAGGTAGAATGTTGTATCGAGTGTTGCTCACCCCACTTTAGGAAAGACATTAATGCATCAGAGGAGGTACAGAGGAGATTTACAAGGATGATACCAGGGATGAGGGGTTTGCCTATGAGTAGAGACTGGAGGAACTGGGACATTTTCTGCTGGAACAAAGAAGGTTGAGACGTGACCTGATCGAAGACTTTAAAATGATGAGGGGTTTTGATAGAGATCAATAGGGAGATATTATTTCCACTGGTCAGTGCATCACCTGCCCACTGGTATTAGGTATCTCTCCAAGGGGAGAGTGCACGTTCCATTCCACACCCAGGGAGAGTTCCACATGTGTACTCATGTCAGACACCCGGCTAATCACCGTGATGGGTTTCCGTGTGTGTAAGTACCCGGCTGAAATTAATCTAAAGATTTTCTGTTTCCAACAAAATGAATCGAACATGGAATCTTTAGATACATGAAGCAACTAGACTACAGTAATAGTTACCTTCTTCTTGTAAAACAGTAACAGCAACTTGCATTTATACAGTGCCCTTTTAGCCGGGCAGTGTCTTGGAGCGGTTAACAACCGTGGAGTCTGACACCGAGCCGGGAGAGGGAGGTGACTGTAAGCATGGTCAAAGAGGAAGAACTTCAGGCGCGATCTGAAGATGGGGAAGGAGGAGGCAGGACGGAGGGATTGAGGCTATTCCATAGTTTCTGGGCTAGTGGCTGAAAGGGCAGTCACCGATGGTGGAGCGGATCGGGTGAAGGACCTGCAGGAGAGAAAGGGGAAGGTGCCAAGTCGAAGAGTGGATCAAAGCAGTTCGGAGAGGTAGTCAGGGAGGTAGGTGTCAGGACATGGAGTGATCTGTACATGAGTGTGAGCATCTTGAAATCAGCAAGACAATCAACGACAACAACTTGCATTTATTCCGCACCCTTCACACAGAATAGGGTCTCGGAGCACTGAACTGGGAGCAGTTCATCTGTAGCCTTGATAAGATTTTACAAGTCTTTTAAACCACTGAGCCAGGTGGTCAGCCTGGCTCAGTGGTAGTACTCTCACCTCTGAGTCGGAAGGTTTTGGGTTCAAGTCCCATGTCAGGACTTGGAATAACAGAATCTAAGCTGATGCTGCAGTGCAGTGCTGGGGGTGTGCTGCATTGTTGGAAGTGCCATCCTTCGGATGAGATGTTTAACTGAGGTCCTGTCTTTACCTATTCAGGTGGACGATAAAGCTCCCGCGGCGCTGTTGCAAAAGAGAAGGGATTTTCTCTCTCCCGGTGTCCTGGCCGACAATCTTCCAGATAAAATTGGTCACTCAATTCACGATTGTTTGTGGCACACTACTGTGTTCAATTGGCTGGTCCACTTTACACTCTATTCTCTGAAACGCTTTGAGACATCTTGAAGACGTGATAAGGCGCGGATTGCATTTTTAAAATAATAAACGGATTTGGTAGCTACAGAGAAGCTATTGCCTTTGGTGGGGGAATCCAGAACAAGGGGGCATAATCTTAAAATTAGAGCTAAGCCATTTAGGAGTGAAATCAGGAGGCAGTTTTTCATCCAAAAGATAGTGGAAATCTGGAACTCTTTCCCCTAAAAGGCTGTGGATCTCTCCACTCCTCTGCATCCCACTACCTCTCTGACCTCCTCTCTCCTCAAAACAGTGCCCGTTGCCTTTGTTCCACTGGGTCTGGCCTCCTCCTCTTCCCCTGAGTCCTCCGCTCCACCCTCAGCAGCCCCGAGGTTCTGGAATTTCCTTCCTCACTCCCGTTGCCTCGCCCCCTCTCTTCCTATTTTCAGGTCTCGGGTGAAGACCTTTCTTTTTGACCACACCTTTGGTGTTGTTGTTATTGGATCCATTCACATTTTCAAGACTGAGGTGGATAGATATTTGTTAGGTCAGGGCATCAAGGGATATGGGGCAAGGGCAGGTAATTGAAGTTGAGGTACAGATCAATCATGATTTTATAGAATGGAGTGGAACAGGCTCAAAGGGCTGAACAGCCTTCCGTTTCTATGTGGCTATGTTTCTATATCAAATGCAAGGATTATTATTATATTATTGCTATAAGAATTGCTCAACCATGAGCTCAAAACAGCTGAACACAGCATGCTTCCTATTACTTGAAAGCTGGAATATATATGAAGATTAATGGAAGTAATATATTTGTTGCTATGATTCCCAAGACAAACAAGAGGTCGACAATGTTTCGGTTCAGCACATTAAAGCCTGGCTGAGTCTGAAACCCTTGAGAATTATTTGGGGCAGAGACAGGGCAGGGGTATGTGTGTGTGTGAGCATGTGGAAAGTATCATTTGTCTATATAATAATAATATTATAATTCATATAGCACCTTATCATGCCATTGAGACACCTCAAAGCGTTTCTCAGGATATATTTTTAAAGTGGATTGACTATGTATTTTGTGGACGAAGCACTGCAGCCAATTGAGCATGGCAATATCCCACAAACAGCTGTGGATCGAATGACCAAATTATTTTATTTTGGAGGAATTATTACTCCCAGAAAATGATCCACCAATTGAATAACAACCAGGTTCCTACTTATTGCTAGGTAAACAGAGACGTGTGGATTAAGGAAACTTCCCTAAAGTTTTGCCCCATGCCCCCACCCCGGAAATCAAACCCGGGTCCTCTCGCTTGCGAGGCGATTGCACTAACAGCTACGTTACGGGACTCCACAGAAACAAAGAGCAGAAGCTGCCCTTTCACAGATGAATCAAGCAACGGAAGGAAGGCAGGCACGTTTGGCCTCTTTATAATTCCCCAGCTATTGCAAATATCAGCTGATGACGATTTATATTATGCCTGGCTCAATCTGCAAGGTAAACAAGAGAAGAGGGGAGGGAGGGAGGGAGAAAAAGAGCTCTCTTTTGATTCCAAGCTGGGAAACGGTGTCTGAACTCTGTGGGACTCTTTAGCCACAGTTTTGACGGTTGAGAGGAGCCGCCTGGCTGAATCGAGCCATTATGTGCTGGCAGTGGGTGAGTCCGGAAAGGCAACGTCTCCCATTATTAATAGTGACTCCTCACTCCTTGGCCTCACAACATCCATTTGCCCAGAGGGAGGAAACTCATTTCCTGCCTCAATGGTTATTATAAGAACATAAGAGTATAAGAAATGCTAGACAAAAAAAGACCAAGTTCCATCTAGTTCGCCTTTCACCTTCCTGGCTGTAGCATGCACATATGTCCCGAACTACCTATGTACTATATCCCATAATGTTATTTCCTAAAAGAAAACTATCTAATCTGTGTTTGTAAGACCAATTACGGAAAAACATCAGCTCAAGCTTTCTTGCATACCCACTTCCTAATTGCTCCTCGTAGTCCAGTCCCTCCATCCCCTCAATCATTCTGGTTGCCCTCCTCTGTGTCATATGAATCACTGCAATGTCATTTTCATACTGCGGTGACCAGAACTGCATACAGTAGCAGAGTCTTTTAATAAT